ACTAAAGCCTGGTGCCCGGTGGACACCGCGCCGCCCGATGCCCGATCTTCAGAGCGAGAGGACTTCGTCCAGTGTTAAAGTCTCACCTAGTCAAAGAAGATAGGGCAGTTATAATGTAAATACAGATAATATTAGTGTACAACAAAGAGGCGACAGTGACGACTGTGCTTAGTATTAGGAGATATTAGCTTTTAGATTAGAGGATTTAGTTATATTAAGCGCAATAAGGACGTGACAGAGACGCCTGCGACGTAATTTTAGTTAGATTTAGGTTAAAATAGTTCAGACAACAATAGTGTACGTGACACAAGAGAGGCGAAAACCTCAAACTTTTAAAACTGCCGCAAGAAAGGTCTAAACAACCTTGAACTTTCTACAAGACATATATACATCTTATGCAGTGCCTAATTACCACCATTTGTAAACATTATTTTTAAGGACAATAAACGCTATTTTAATACTCCGTATGTATGTACGCGAAAGCAGAAACTGTCATCTTTAAATAAGGAAGTATGCAATTTGTTTTAAAGACCACGAGACGATTTCGCGTAATTTTTGCTTGAAGTCAAGACAATTTATAACAAACTAGTGGTAATACTTAATGGCACAGACTTTTCTGTATTAGTTTTTTTTCTGTATTAGTTTTTTTTTTTTTTACTTTCTTTAGTCTCAGCTAGCTATTCGGACTAGCCCCATTCTCTTGCCAGCTGTGTTCTATGTTTTATGCCTTCTGTGTTTTATGCCTTCTATATTATTATGCCTTCTGTGTTCAGCTGTTATCTATCACCGCCCAAAGTACTACATTTTTTTCAGTTTTCTTAATTTTTCGGTTTCCTAATAGTAGGATCGGATTATTACTTTAAGAATACTACAGAAGAGTAAAACTTCGTCCTACGTGGAACTTTTCATTGAAAAATTACCGCCATTTTTAAGAAACTTTTGTTTAATCGTTACTGTGAATGCGAAATTTGATGATCTTTACACAGAAAACTATTCGAATTATACAGTATACAGTTTTCGAAAAATTTCATATGGCGTCATTTCAAGCACTTCCAGTTATAAATGTAATAGTGTTCACAAATTGGTGGAAATATACATATTAAAGGCGTGAGAGATATTTTAAAAAATTACATTAGTGTAATTTTTGAAAACACTAATGAATACAGCAAAATGAACTGAATGTTATATTAAACAGTACAATTAGCACTATCTGTTGGAAAAGTTTGAAGAATAGAACTTATAGCGGTTTTTGAGAAAATGGCGTTTGAGCTTTTCTTAAAATGCGAAATTTTGAGCTTCTTTTTTTGAAAGAGTTTTTGAAAAACTTAATCTAACATTATGTAAAGCACATGTACTCATAAATACAATAATGTGAACAAATTGCCATCAATGTAAATACTAACGAAGTGAGAGAAAAGTAAATCCAATTTCATTTTTGTAATTTTTAAACAACAAATGAATAGAGCAAGATGGTGTTTATGTCATCTTATAGAGTGCATTTAGCACTATCATCATAAAAAGCTTAAAGAAAAAAATTGAAGTAGTTTTTGAGAAAATCTTGATTTTATTATTTTGAAAATTCCACATATTGCACGCTATATTGCTCGAAAACTACTAAAATTTTGACAAAAAATGCACTTGACCGTATTGAAAGAACTAATTATGAACATTTAATTTCAAGGAAAAATCTCTATCTTCAATTTCGTATTTGTAAGAAGGCGCCAGAAAAAAATCAAACTTTTGAAACTTTCGAAACTTCAGAGTTAACCCTTGCAATCGGATCTATGCCTCCTTTGTAAATGTATTTTACTCTATTTTCCAAGAAGTTAAAAAAAAAATTGGAGCCGTTGTTGAGAAACTTTTGAAAGTGACCCAGGAACGTAAAGTATCTCCAAATTTTAAAGTATCTTTTATAAAATCTCAAAGCTTCAACTCGCGTCAGATAGACAGGGGTTTCTTTAATTTGAAAAAGCTACGTATGGTTTAGGCACTAGTTCAAAAGAGGAACGCACGGACAGACGGACGGGCGAACGGACGGGTGTTTAGAAAAACACTTTTCGGTATCAGGTATATACCCCAAAACGTGTATTTCCGTTGAAATCTCGAAATCGATTTTCCGCAGCATTACATAATTTTCCCTAATCTACGTATTACTCCATATATACGTATGTATACGTGAAAATAAAAATTTTTTAAAACTCAGCCAGATTTTTTTTCTCGTAAGGAGTAAAAGACACTTAAAATTGGTGTATATCCCATTTTCCTCAAACTCTATGTATTCAAAACTTGCCAAAAATGAAAGAAAACTAGAAGTGCTACATAATGGAAGAGACTTTCCCATATTAGTTTTCTATTTCCTCCGGCTACCTATACGAACGTGCCACATATTCTTGCCAGCTGTCTTCTGTCGCCGCCAAAAGTACATTTTTTATATCTTCTTACTTTTTCGGTTTCCAAATTGTAGAACATAATTATTATTTCAAGAACATTAAATAACAATAAGCCCTCGCCTTCAATGGCAATTTCCTTTTAAAAAATTTGGAGCCGTTATACAGAAAATGACGCTTAAGCGCTACTGTACATTTGAAATTTGGAGCTCTTTTTCACACAAAATTTTTGAGTTTTCGAAAATCGGCATTAGAAGTAATTTAAAGTACATTAACTTACAAATACAACAGTGTTTACAAATTGCAGGAAATGTGTATATTAATGGCGAGAGAGGTTTTTTTAAGTACATGAATATAATTTTTGGGAAAGAATACCCAGAAATGTTATATTAAAGAGTGCAATTAGTACTACCCGTTTGAAAAATTTGAAGAAAAATATGGAGCCGTTTTTGAGAGAATTGCGTTTGAGCGTTTCTGAAATTGCGGAATTTGGAGCTAGGTTTCACAAAAAACTGTTGAGTTTTAACTTAATCTGACATTATGTTAAGCACATGTACTCATAAATATAATAATAGGAACAAATAGCGCTAATATAAATATAAACGACGTGACAGACAGATTAAAAAAATATACTTTTGTAAATTTTGAAAAAACAAAAGAATAGAAAAACATGAGGTTTATGTCACATCATAGAGTACATTTAGCATTATCCATACCAAAAGTTTAAAGAAATATGTGAACTACGTACTGCTAACGTAAATATTAACGACGTGAGAGACAAGTCAATAAAATAACATTTTTGTTAAAACAAAAGAAGAGAGCATTATGACGTTTATGCTGTCTTATATAGTACACTTAACACTCACCCTACCAAAAGTTTAAAGAAAAAATTTGGAGCCGTTTCAGCGAAAATCTTGTTTTTGTTATTTTTAAAATTGCACGTATTGCCCGCAATATTGCGCGAAAAATACTCACATTTTCACGAAAATGTACATGACTTTAATGGAAAAAACTCACTATGAAGAACAAATTTCATTTGAAGGGAAAATCTCTATCTTCAATTTTTTAGTTGTAGGAAGACGCCAAAAATTTTCAATTTTTTAAAATTTTCGGAATTGTAGAGTTAACAGTGAAAATCAGACTTATGACACCTTTATAGGCGTATTTTACTCTATTCTTACGAGAAATTTAAAGAAAAAATTTTGAGCCGTTTCTGAGAAAATTTTGAAAATATACAGGCGGCTTCGTGTAAAGTGACCCCAAATTATAATAAGGTTTTTCAAAATTTCAACGCTTCGACTCGAGTCAGATGGACAGGGGTTTCTTCAATTTGGAAAAAAAATCTACACTAGGTTTGGGCACTAGCGGTGTTTACAGACGGACGGACAGATAGACGTTTTGAAATGAACCACACTTTCGGTACTAGGTGATTCCAAAGCGTGTATTCCCATTGAATCTCAAAATCAATTTTCCGCAGCATTACATAACTTTCCCTGTACTATGTTTATTACTCCATGCATACGTACGAGTATTCGGGTAATTAAAAATTTCATTGCAAAAGTACAATACTGATAATAGATGGGATTTTTACTTAATGAAACGTGTTCTAAAATGTTTTATCTTTATATAAGGTCACGAACTGTCTTTTTGCAAAGTTGGAGGGTTTTGCGTAATTTTTGCTGAAATGCAGCTGATAAAACAAAACGTCTCAAAAACGACTCCAATTTTTTTCGTTTATTTGTTCCCCTCGGATAGAGCAAAGAACGCGAAAATAATGGCGCAGGGGTCATTTTCATTTAACTCTCTAAATTTTCGAACATTGGAAGTTACAAATAATGCGAGAGAGTATGTGCTGTGGTGGTGTTCCACATATGGGGAAGAAAGCAAATAATCTAAAGGCCCTTCAGTTACAGAGCCGAACAGAGGGCCGTGCAGATGTCAATAACGTTTCACAGACATACAATACTTTTTAAAAATATTTACTGTTAATGTACCGTCGCAAACATCAAAGTATCACTTTTTCTATAAATCAAATCCTGATTCTGCATTATCCAATAGTTTCAAATCCTCGAAGTAAGCTATATCAGAAATTTTAACATTGTTTTGAATCGGGGTTACTAGGCGAATAAGTTTTCTTTTGAATTGTTCGAATTATAAAGAGTCTATTTTTTCTGTGTCGATACCTTTTTTCAAGTGAATACATTTCATTAACTAATTCAATATTTTTTCATGATTTAATTTTGGCGGGCCGCGAAGAATCGTTTGCTCTCTTGGCAGTTAGGCAATGCAAGGACTGTCTTGTATGCTACAGAGCCGCCCCCAGCGGATGGAACACAACATTCTAAAGTGATTTTTAGGCGATGAAAGCGCCTCTAACCCGAGTGCCGTATTTTTAGGATCTTACAAGCAGCTCCTTCGCTAAGAAGAGCTTACGAACTTTTGAAAGATGATTCTGTGAAAATGAAAAAAATATCATTAACGTTACTGATTCAATGTGTTTTTGTTGAATAGGGTTCAAGTTTAGTGATACTTTGAACTTATTTGGACGTTGAGTTATCCAAATAGCAGATCACGTGAAGTTTGCTTGAAAAATACATATGCTAATACGTTTTCAAATTGAATGTCGTTCAGGACTGAAAAAATATTTGGAAAGAGCTGTAGTATATCAGACCACTAAATCACCAACCTGCTGTGATAGTGTCCAAGACTGCGCTGAAAGCGTTTGTGCGCACGCGTGTACTGTAAAGTGAGAGGTGTCATGTGGTGTCCTCCCATCCAACGAAGTGTCAAAATGTAATAATATTAAGTGTCATAGGAAAAGGAAACAATGGTCATCGAAACTGTGATTAGATATTTTAAATTCGGTTTGTTGTGTAAATACTTCGTGGAAAAAGAACAAAACGTCTCGAATAATATGACCGAACATTTGGCTGCAAGATTTAAGTGCAAATAAAGTAATATAAGAAACTCAGTTGTGTCTTTTACACTTGATTGTTAAATTCAATAGTAATGTAATTGATTTCGAGTGCAGAATGCAATAAAACTAGGCCTTTTAATGAATGGTACTTCACTTCGTATATACGGGTTCAGGTAATTGTAAGACCTATGGTAATTTCAAAATCTGTTCATAGTGAAATGGATAGAGATGCTGGGTCAGTTTCATGAAATGTTGGCGCCGCAGCGAGTTTCACCACGGTGGAAAGAATGGATACCTCTAGTTTCTCAGCAAGTGAGTATCTAGTTTTTATGTTAATGTTGAATTAGCTGTTTTCTTTCCGTTTTTATGAAAAATTAGTATTTTCAAGTTTTAGTTTGTTACAGTAATGACCATTTTCTTTCACATTATTTTTTATTGCCAAACAAGAACACGGAAGCTTGCTAGGTTATTTCATCAATAATTACAAATTTTCAAAATTGGTAATATATAATGCTCGTTGTATACTAAATGTTAGTGTTGACTTTTGTAATTGTATGTTTTTGTACACAATTGTGTTAATGCATATTGTTTAGTAGTTTTTTGAATTGTGCTTCCTACATATAGCATTCTGTTTTCAGCTTCGCCTCAGAAACCTGATTCAAGTAATAGCTTATAACGTGAATGTTCCTGAGAAAGTAAAATGTGATGCAAAGATAAAACTATCAAGGACAGAGAAAACAAAATCATCATTTTACTACACACTTCATTTAACTACAATGTCAGCTCCATTTTATACCAGTGAAAAGCTTGAAACAGAGAACCCAAAATGGGCAGAAATTGATATTGGTGAGACAGTAAACGCCATTAATGCTTCTGTCAATGGTAATGAAACTTAATTTTGTATCTAATACATTTGACCATCTTCTTTTATTAGTAATTCTTGTTTAGTAATGTATCATGAAAGCAGAAAGCAATGCAAATTGCTAGGTATTTTTAGTAAATCGATTTGTTCAATTTATTGATAAATGTCAACTTTTTTATAAAGCTACTGGAGTAGTAATATTTAGTTTAATTGAGCATGTATTCAGAAAATATAGATTTTGTAATAAAAAATAAGTTTACTAAATTTGTGTTCTTAAATCCATCTTTCTCTTGAAGTAATTTTTTCCATGCCTAAAACAAATTGGATTACTTTGTTTAATTAGAATTATTTTTATTTTATTTTTAGATCAAACTACTCTCTTCTTGATTGCATGATAATTTTAAATATTTAGAATGCAATTTGCAAAGTTTCTCTTGCGATTTAAAAATATCTTTTAAAAATGTCTTGTGCTGCAGGCATCGTGGTAAGGCTGTGGGTACATAGAAACACAGAGCAAGACCAAGTGCTGACTGTATGGGGAGTATACTTCAGTGGGCTGATCTACCTGGGTCCTAAATTGTGTACTGACCCAGCAGCCTTTTGTCTTAATACCATTGTGTTCCACATGCATGGTGGCTACTTCACAGCTCCTCAATGCTTTAAGGAACCTGCCCCTCGCATAAGGCACGCTCAAGTGAAGATCAGTGTGCCAGATGTTCAACCTAGCTACACAGTCAGCTTAGTTTCGAGGTATGTACTAAACAGATATTAATACCCTTGAATATCAAAAGTTGAATTAAATGCCTTCTAAGTATGTTGGATCAGCATTTTCAATCCCCATTAGTTATAATGATATTGCTGTAATTTCCCAGTAGTACATGCATACACAGATTTTGTTGTAGCTATAGTTTTGTGGAAAGAAAGAAAATCTTAAAATATGGTTTACTTGAAAGGGCTTAATAAGAGCATACTGAATATGTCAAAAATTGCTGATGTGTATTATTTTCACTTTTTCCCTTAGATTACACACTATTCAACAAGCAATCAAGAAACAGCGAAGTGCAGCTCAAGTGCTGCGAGAAAAAATTTCTGTGGGTAGATATACACCTCCAGAGTCTCGAGAAAGTGCAACATTGCGAAGACTTCTGAACAAAAGTAGACCCCAAGCTCCTCAGAGACAAGAAGTACAGAAAATTAAAAGAGAAATTGAAATGACAAAATTTCGTGTAGAAATGCTAGCGCAAGAGCGTTCTCGCAAAATAGCAGAATTGCAAGCTCTTGAAAAATCTAAAGCATTGCTTAGTGAAATTAATCAAGATAGAGGTAATTAGTGTTTAACTTTTGAAACCATACTATCATTTGTAATTTTGCTGAATGTTGTTCCACCTGATGCCAATTTTGTTACAGGAACTGAACTTTTGGATAACTATCGGACTTTACAAAAAGAAATGGAACGATTGAAAGATAAAAGGAAAACATACATAGACACCAGAGATGCATATCTAATGACTAATGCGCAATTAATTTTCCGTCAAAAACAGCTGATCTCAAAACTAAGTCAGATTTATCCTGTTACGCAGGTGTGTAATCAGGAATCAACATGATCTAGAATTATATTTCTTTAATTAATTATAAATGTTTATTTCAATTTCACACATTTTTCTTTTCTTTTTCTTTTTTTAGCTGTCTGATGGGAAATATTCAATATGTGGCGTGCATTTGCCAAATTCAGAAGACTTTGCTGGCAATGATGAAATTATGATCTCCGTTTCTCTTGGCTATGTTTCCCATGTTCTACAAATGATATCTGTCTTTTTGCAAGTTCCTCTAAGGTACCCAATTATTCATTTTGGATCATGGAGTAAAATAGTTGACCATGTTGTAGAAAAGATTCCAGAGAAGGATAGAGAGTGAGTACACATAATTAATTGACTTAGTAGAAATATTTACTTTAATTTTAATTAATGTTCAACATTTTGTGTGGTCAGCATGTAAAACTGAGCACATTATAAACTGCTGTTAGTAATATTACTAATAATTTTATTACCTCCAAATTCATTACAAATACAATATTAAACTAGCTTTTGACTGTTCTAATAGAAGTGTATTTAAAATTATCCATTTTTTAAAAATCAGTTGACTTCATTTTGCTAAAGTATAAAGTGCATTTACATTAGTGTTCTAAGATGTAGTATGCTTTCAACATGATTTTTTTTTCAGTATTGTCCAACTATGTGTGATACACTCATAAAACAGTTGCAGCTTGTATCTTTAAATAAGTTGATACTTCTAATAATAATATCGATGTGATGGTTTGGTACACAAAACTTCCTTAGGCATTTTTTTATTTTTCATTTGTTGGAGGATTGAAAACAATTCAGGTTGATACAAAATTGAATGACATTTATTTTTCACATGATAATACTACGAGTAACTGTTCTTGCAAGCATACTTTGCATTTGCAGCTTGGAAGAAAATTAGAGCTCTCCATCGTCAGAATAAAAGCAAAGATATGAACAAGAGGCATAAACTAAAACATAATAAATTTCTTGGAGAAAATATTATGAAAACTTACAAAGTTCAAAAATGTTATTACAGATCTCATCTTTTCTAAGCAAAAATAATGTACGGCATTGTCATGTTAATCCCAAAATTAAAAAGAGATGGAAGTTAATTGTAGAACTATGCCTCAAAAAACTGATCTCAAAAGAAAAGGCTATTATATATAGCTATTCACAAAAAATAAAGTGTAATGAAAACATTTCATTTGATTAAACATAGTTATTATTTTGGTGGAATACACCAGAATATTACAAATTGTAGAGCACTGTTGTTGCTAGCTCTTCTTCCCAATAACAAAGACTAGCAGCAACATCTCAAGTAAAATAAGTTGTCAAATGTTGCAACACAACAGTGCATATTTGAATTCACATCTCAAAACAGCTGATCAGGAGTTAGGTTAACTGGTTTCTTCATATTCCCCTTGCTCTACTAATTTTACCCTCTGATATTTTCATTTTCCTCTCTTTTCAATCAACAGTCTTCAAAGTTTAATAATGAAAATGCTTTTCAATTGAAGCTGAAAATTACACTCTGTACCAATATTTATTATCAGATATGGAGTTATAAAAAAGTTTTTGAATAGCTCTTGGGATATTGTATATTGTCTTTTAAATGTCTGTTCTCTTTTGAGATATGGCATAATATTTTGGGGAAGTTCATTTCACTTAGCACGAACTTAGATTGCAGAAATGAATTGTGTAAACAGGATCATCCTTGTGATCATTGCCTGATTAGCTAAATTCATTAAACAACCAATTTTGTCATTGTTGTGAATCTTTGTGAATCAGTAGTTTTTGCAAGAATAAATTTGCATGATAGAGGATGTGCGTTATCGTAAAATTCAAATATTCTGACGTTCACAACTCCATACAGCAGTTCCTTTCATCAAATGTAAGTGTCAACTGCAGTCACCAGAAAGTTACATATATTCTGTGTACTTTTATTTATTCACCCAAAAATATTAGAAATATATTTTACATACATTTTTTCATGTGATTGACATACATGTAATATTAAATATTTAAAAGAGTAGATGTTTCCAGATTAATTAGAGATAATCAATAAAACACAGGAAAATTCTGAGATAACAAGAGATTTATTTTCCATAGAAAACATAGCATGATTTTTCTTCTCTAATGTAACCACATCTTCAGATGAAGGTTCCGAAAATTTACAATAAAACGTTTTAAAAAATAAATTACAAACTCAAAATTAGTTTTTAAAAAAATTAGTAAAGACTTTAGATAAAACGTACTGAATTCAACACTTTTTGTTTATGAATATTGAATTTGATAATTCAATTTTGAAAATATATTTATTGTAAGTTTACAGAAACGTTACCTGAAGATATATTAAAACATTAACATCATTACATTAAAACACGAAACATCATGCAATGTTTTCTATTATAGAATAACTTGGTCTCTGATAATTTGCCTGTGATGTGGGAACTTCAACTCTTTTAATTGCAACTCTTTTAATTGTCACTACAATCACACTGGTCTCTTTATTTCAACAAACTTCTTTTTAGTTTGGTTTATTATTTTTATATTTAAATTTGAAACATATTTACTAAGCTTTGTTAATCAATCATTACTTTCATGATATTTTTAATATTGTTTGAATATATAATTGCAAATAAGATCATTGTTAAGTTCCTGTGAGTGAAGGACCCAATTTGAACACTGTCTTTATTCAGTTTTCCAGTTATCCCAAGAAGTTCAGATGATCCTTTGTTTCATCCTGGACAGTAAATATAGCTGTATTCCCCTTGAACGTTATAGGTAGCATCAGTGGGTTTTTTGTTGTTGTTTTTTATGTAATCTTCATCAAAAATTGGTAGTTTTTGAAATGAGTTTTGTAGAGAACATGTAGAATGCTCATATCCTTCCACTATTTAATTCTTCTAATTATTTTCTAGTTTATTTTTTATGAACATGTGAATGTTATTATATACCATTGAACGAATATCTATCTGCCTTTTGTCTTATTTGCATATTTCTTGTTGTCTGATGTTAAAGCCTTCAGAAATTTAATAGTAATTCTTACAATTTCAGGTTTCCATTATTTTCAAGAGGAAAAGACAAATTACAGTTCAATTATGGTGTGTACTTACTAAACAAGAATGTTTCACAGTTACGATGGTATTGTGGTTTACCTACTCAAGACCTCCGAGCTACTCTTCCCAATCTCAGTGGTCTTTTACGTATACATCCGACTACTGTGTAAGTTGATGTACCGATTTATTTTACGATAATAAAAGTATATTTTTTAGCTGTTTTCATATTTCCACATTGCTTTTTTAGTTTTGTAAACCACAGCCAAGAATGTTTTAACTAAACACTATTTAATATTGTTTTTTGTATTTCTAATGAATCCTACTTAAAATGCATGTATTGTTATACAGAAACATGTGAAGACAGGATGTTGCTTATTGTTAATCAGCTTTTTCAGTAACCTAAATGTTCTGTTTCCAGCCCAGAATTCCATTATCAACACCATCACCACCATCATCACACTTCTTCTGGCTCATCATTAGATCTGCGCAGCTCTTCTCAGAACCAGAGTCCCATAGGAAGTGTGCCTCCTGAATTTAGGAAAGACCTGTGTGAAAAAGATGCCGCCAATAGTTTTGAAAAAGGTCATCGTATATCTCGATCAATGGACAGCTCTGACATGAATTTTCAGTCTAAAATCAATGAACCTGATGTGCAATCTGCAAAAGAGTTTAAAATATTAAAAGAACGAACAGATTTAGTGAATGGGTCTCCATCTGTATCAACTAGTCTTAGTTACTCTCTGGATAAAGGGTTGGATGAATACGAGGAACTGAAAAAAGCAGAGCTTCCATCAAAGCCTCCTTTGTCTTCAAAGCCTCAGGCTGCTGGTGGCCGGGCGCTAGCATCAGTTGGCTCAGAGCCCATCCTCACCCAGGAGATGAGAGAGAGAGTGCACAGGAAAGATGATCTGGAAACTGTGAGTTCTGGCGACGAGGCCAAGAAGCACTTCCTTCAAAGTTGGCAGGCAGGTGGTCCAGCTCCTGTTTGCTCTGATGACGAAGGGCTGCCCCACTCACAATTGCCTCACAATTGTCTTTATCCCCAGAGCCCAGAGCTTTTGGCAGAGAAATTGGAAGGTCATTGTGTCACAGAAAATGGTGCCAATAGTGATCTCTGTAGTGATCAGACTCAAGAACCTCAACTAACTGATGTTCATGGAATTGTGCAAGAGCAAGTCCCATTTGAGGATGAATGCCCTTTCTACATTCCTGAAGATCATGTGACTCACCAAAAGATCTACAATCATTCAAACAAGGAACTACCAGTTGATAATCATATCACAGAAAAGAAAGATGAACCTACCAAAGAAAGAGGCAATGCAGAATCTACTTTGACCAATCATAGTGACTGTGATTCAAAGAGAAGGAAATCAGAGTGCATTGTTGAATCAGAAAATGGTTCTGAAAATCCTCATCTCACAAGCAAAAGTTTACAGAATGTAAACAATCGAATGTTGGATACTACTATACCTAACAGAAAGGACCTATTTGATGAGGCTGTATCCCTGGAGGAAATGAGCAGCCTCATAGACAGCTCTGTGCTAGTGGATAGTGTGTTTGCCAGTGTTGCAAGTCGAACTGAGGCTTTGGCCAATCGCTCTGGAACCTTTAACCTGGTGAGATCAAGGCACAGTAGCATGCTTGAGGATGGTAACTCGTGATCTTCAAAGAGAAACTCTCACTTTCACAGACTCGAGTCAGTGAAATTAGAGTAATTCTCCACAAGCTGTGATGTTGTCATGAAGGTTTATTGAACACCAAATACAATGCTACAATCTAAGTATTGTAAGTAGACTAAGGCTGCAAATAATTATTTCATGTTTATATTGTATAGTATCCATTATAAAGTTAATTTCCCTGTCATTTTCAGACAGTTATTCCAAAATTCAGTCGGTACTCATTTCTCATTAGTTTAATTCTGTATTCATTCATTTGACGTTTGCTTAAATTTGCCCTTTTAAAGGGAGAGCAAATGTTTGGCTTGACTGATAAGTCTGTTTAATGTAAATATCTTTCTTTCTTATTGTAATATAATTGTGAATCAATATGTAAAAATATTGTGTAAATGAAATAGTGTAAATGTATTAGAACAGAAATTTGCACATATATATATATATATTAGCTGCCAGAGGTACAACTGTATTAGTAGGAATAATTAAAAACATTAAAGTAGAATTTCATTGTTTTGCCAGAGGTGGGCAGCTCTTCCATTTGGAATTTGTTTGCAATTAGATTATCTAATCAAAAAATAGATTCAAAGCATTATACAAACCTTATATATAATAAATGTATTTATGCCTAGTATTTATTATAGTATTTTCATTTTCGTGTGAAGACTTACTTGTTATTTCTTCTCCCTTATCCAAAATTTTTAAAAAAAGCATGATTATTATTTATGTAAGTGATGGTTAAGAAAGGCGTAATTCATGAGTAAAGTTTTTTGAGTTGGGTTTTGTATTAATACAAGGTTTAGAGACAAATTTGCAACTAACTTTGTAGAGCATGGACATTAATTATATAGTAATTTTACATAAGTTATTTGCAGAAAGCTCAGAACAGGGAAGTTCAGCATTCCAGAAAAATGGCTCTTTTTTTGGCAAATGTTTTTTTAGGCTCCCAAAGAATGTGAAGGACATTTTTCTTTGTTAATGCAAAGGCTAGAATTCACAAGAAAGTACTTACGTCAGTGCTAATTTCACATATTAAATTATCAAGGTCACCCCCCCAAAAGCAACACATCTGAAGTAACTACACAAAATATAGTGGAATCCTTGCAATGTATTTTGGGAATATTTCAATTTGTCCCTAGAGACTAATTTCTTTATATCAACTGAATTTCTTTAACAATTGTAAAAGTACTCAAAAAAATACTTGCTAACCAGTCAGAAAGGTTTTCTTTTTATGGAACATCTGATAAACGATCAATACACTTCATGCTATTTCATCAATAAATGTTGTTTCTCAAACTCTATTCCTGTAATCATTAAAACATCAGATTCAAAGGACTTATGAAATGAATTAATTCTTTGATAATAACAGAAGTTAACTTCTTTAATCTTGTAATATAAAGTCTTCCTACAAATACACATTATTAAACTAATATTATAATGGTTAATAAAGTACAGTTAACAAAACCTGACTAGTGATGAGATTTATTAAATTGCACCACTGTACATCACATTTGAATCTCTTATCCTAGTTCTATCTGAATAAGATATTTTCATGGAGCCAGATCCTTGCAAGTTCAAGTTCAGAGTTATGCACTTCATACATGATATATCACTGCCACATACCATTTTGAATAATAGTAGTAAAATTTTAATATCAACATTTCATCATGATAAATGACACTATCAGAAATACGTTTTCAATAGGTTTTCAATATCTGAAAATAGGTTTAAATATCTCAATTCCAAGTTTTGAAGAACATTGAAACTTTAATTCATTTCCACAATTCTCATCAGTGAAAATATTTAAAGTCCTGTACAAACAGGTGACAATTATTTTTGTTCACTGATATAAGATTTCTTACAACTTATTTTACTACTAATATTAATTTATGCTTATTAATTGAAATGCATAATATTTAACAAAAATATTTGTATATATTTTTAACAAAGAGAGTTGCATATCAGAATAAAGATCATTTACAGCTTTATCAGTCCCTGAGGATTTAACATGTAACCAAAATCAAACTGCATTACCAACATTTTTTACATTAATACCAAATCTCTGAAGAGACAGATTCTTCACGACATCATATACCAAAAATTCAATGAATGATAAATACCTGTATTCAATGATGGACAGTAAGCTTAATTCTCAATACTGTCCACATACAGTTTTCTCAAATAATTATTTTCTTTTAATGTTTCCATTCATTTCATCACGTGTTTGACCCAATGAATGTTCTTACAGCATAAAATACCTATGATTATTAAAGCTAGGTATTTTTCATGACGAAGCAAACTAATCACTTTCATTCAAAATTAAGATATATCAGATATATCTTTACTTTCGTTTTGAGCTAAGTTACTAAACATCCCACAGAAATGTGCCAATAAGTTATGTAAATTCTACATCACAAGGATTATCATCAAAGATATCATCATAGACTGCCATTTGCCTTGGATCCACGTCATTTCCAATAGTTGACTGTGGTTCTGAATTATCCATGACCATAGCACCTTCTGACACATGCGTTTCCTTGGACAAAACAAGATCTTTTCTGTTTTGTAACACTGTCAAACATTCAGTTTCAACATTATCTGTAGGCAAAGTTGTATTAATTTCAGATTCCTTCTTTTGGTGAGATTTGGCTTTGGATTTCTTACTTTTGTTTCCCACTTTTTGGTCATCAATGAAAATGCTATTTTTCTGTTGTTTTGACACACTGATGTCCTTCTTAATCAACTGCAAAAATACACCACCTGGTGTTCTTCTCCTGGAACCATTCATTACCATCATACCTCCATTTTTCTCAAGATTTCTCGTTTTGTTGAACAAATCAATTGCTTTCTCTGTTCCTAAAACTGTGACAACACGTAACACAAGATCTTCATTCTCTTCACACAATTTGAGAGTTATGTCCCTGGTGACATCTTCAACTGAATCATCCAAAGACACTTTTAATTCTGATAAATATCGAGGATGAATCGTTTGATCCTTGTCTGGGCTTGGTTTTCGGCCAAGTTTGGATCTTAAATCAACAACTTCCCCATGATGGCGTTTTCGATTATCGCTTTCAGTTGAATGTTTCGGTTCTTCGTTTTCTGCAAAGTGGTAATATGATTCAACAGCCCTACTTTTGTCCATAACTTTATTATTTATGCCAGCTTCCCAATTACAAATTTCGTCCATGAGTTCAGAAGCTTGAACTTCCGACGTCCAAACATTATATTTGTTTCTGGCAGAACTCCTCTTCAAAATTTTTGGTCTTTTACGAGATTCACGCCCACTGTCAGAGTCACTATTTTCACTCGAATCACTTGAACGCCCTCTTTCATTGTTAGATCTGAAAGAGCATTTAGAAACAACCGAAGCTACTGATGGTCGAGGTAGAGGTTCATAATCTATAATTTCCCCATCTTCTGGAACATCATTTACTTCATTATCCATGGTATTACACACAAAATTACAACTCACATTAACGTACTCAACTACCTCACAAACAATTCACGTCCTTTTATCAATTAATCCACTATCATCCAGTTCACAATAGCGGGAAACACCTTGATTCACTTGCGAACTCCAAGAGGAAACAAAACACCCGCGAAAAGGAAAGAACTACCAACTGTTGGAACCAATAATTCTCTCTTGTTGGAACCATGGTGGAAACGGTTGGAACTACCTTAAACACAACCATGGAGTTTCTTCCGCCACACATTAGGGACTTGGAATTACAATTGCTCATGATCATTACATCATAATCATGATCATTGCGCATGACCATACATTTACGGCGGGAGCGCATGAAAATTAGGTAATAAGTCACTGCAAGTAAACTTTCAAGAAACTGAAAAACAGAGTTTAAGTGATTACGGTAAAATCAGAATAATGAAATAATATTAAAATACAATTTGAACAGTGCTTTATTTTTTTTGTATGTAGACGTATAAATAATCAACTGAATAAAGAACTAGACAAAAAGGCCACTAAAAATGAACTAGACAATAATGGTAGTGGGGGGACTACGCAGTTGACATAACATGCCCCTTTAACACCAAAGATAATTGACATAATTCTTTCAACACAAAAATCAATGTAATACTCCATTTTACAATAAATGAAAGGAACGAAGTCACATTTTTGTCAAAACATGCTGGTACTCCTATCTCGCAAGTGTGAGTTTGGCCTAATCCCTCACAATTTGTGTCACATAGAAAGTTTTTTTTTTAACATATTAAGGACATGTAGCCTGGTATTCTGGTCCCACACAACAGTTACTATTGGTGCTACAGAATAGAACAGACTTTCCCGTATCAGTTATCAATTTCCTTTGATCACAGCTAGCTACTCGGACTTGACACATACTTACCAGCTGCCATCTGACGCCGGTCAAATTACTTTTATATATATATATATATATATATATATATATATATATATATATATATATATATATATATATATACACACACACACACACTTCATTTTTCGGTTTCCAAATGGTAAAACGGAAATATTATCTTAACAATATTAAATGACAGTAAACCCTCGTCTTAAATAGCAATTTTCTTTGAAACATTTGTAGCCGTTTTTAAGGAAATGGCGTTTAAGAACTATTGTAAATTCGAAATTAGAAGCTTTTTTTTACAGAAAATGTTTTAGTTTTTGAAAAACTTAATTTGGAGTCATTTGAAGCACATTAACTCACAAATACAATAGTGTTTACAAATTTGGTGGAAATGTGCGTCATCATAACATTTGTATAAATAAATGACATTTATCCATTTTGGTTAGGTAAAGTCAAACATTATTATAATCAGTTTCGTATTTATGGCGTAAAAACTTTGCCACTTTTCTTTTGATAATATTTTTGACTTCGTCTTGTATCCTTCACTTTGCCACTTTAAAAACGCTAATAAACTTACTGATATCAATACTGCCAGTAAGTGATATTGTACTCTTTAACAGATCCAAAGACTACTACACCCGCACGTTTAATGAGCACTGAAATACCTATCATTTCTAACATTAGTTGAATTAAAAATAAATGTTAGCGACGAGCGTTGTTTACAAAATATCGTTATGAGAAACGTTCGCTTCCGAATAATAGAAATTATTTTACATCGAAAAACAAGCGACAGGTTTGATATTGCAGTGAACCTGATAGATTCCTGCATGGCGCGACTTCATCACGCCAATTAGTTGCTCGGTGCACAAAGAGGCGTACCTGATTCGACACGCCCATGTGCCCCCACCGAGACTCCCCTCGTCCCTCACAAAGCGCCACCCTACGGTCCTCTCCGAACGCAGGCCGCCGAAGGCAGAAGAAAAATTCCTCCAGACCATCCCGTTACCCCTTTGTCCGCGGGGGAGGCAAAATGAACCGAAACAGTCCAATTCGCCGACGTCCATAGAGTAGAGATATATCTCTCCTCTATGCCGACGTCACAGTTACGGCCATGCAATTCCCAAAGGGCGTACAATAAAACAATCACGAAGGCGGACGACAGCTGACGGCGGCACGCGACACTGCGCAGGCACCCAGTGCCTCCAGTGCACAAAGGGTAACGATTTTAAAATACACAGAAAAGTAGATTGCCAAGAACAGAGATTGCCTTCACCAGTTAACGAGAAGAGTCGATAGAATGTTCGAGAAGCGCGTCGGAAGACCCCATTAGAAACAATGCGCTAAGGTTGTGACAGAATTCGGAGGTAGGAGTAAGGGGTGGGGATGGCGGCAAGAAGTTGAAAGAACTTCACTCGGAATCTTCGGCCCGAACCAGGCACTTACATTTTTCGACTTGAACGAGTCACTCCAAATTTCGTCGCGAACGAGGCACTAAATCAATTTTTACTTAAACGAGGTACTTGTCAACATGAGGGGGGCAAGAACGGGAACTCGGTTGCGAGCAATTAGGCAGTATAACATGTTCACTGGCATACGACTGGCCGACATTCGCCTGCCTAAGCCATCCCATCAGCTGTCTCTTGCCACCGAAATGTATTCCGTGGGACCGGTTAATCGGATCAACTCTGGATAAAGCTTTGATTAGGGCGTGCAGACAGTTCTTACGGCTGCTACACGTGAACGGGAACGGCATCTAACGATTCCGATTCACACACCGATGAGGCGGCATGCCGCTTCCTGTGTGGGCACGATCGGCCGCTGACCTGGATGCAGCCTACGAGAGCCATGGGTCCTACTTCGACGGTGTTTTGGCGAACCTCTTCCGCCGCGAACGACCGTTAACAGGCCACGATCGTGTAATCCACCGAAGTGAGGTAACATCATCATCATTTTTTTGTAAATTCATCCACGCTCCATTAGTTTAACAATAAATTGGACTGGAAATTGATGAAGAGAAAGAGAGATGAGAATAGTGTAATTAAAGGCAGTTTCAACTTAATAAATGTGTTACCGCTCAGACGGACTGCACTTGATAAAATTTCATCTTTGTGTATCATTTTGTTAACCAATAGACAAAATGTAATCCTTTGGTCCAGAGCGGTCACCGCTGAGGTGGTCAATACCGGCAGCTGGATGGCAGGCAGATGCACGCTTGGCGCCCTCTAAATAAATTTGGCGTGTGTGCCCTGTTGTCAACAATCAACCGACGCACCTTATGTGTGTCGGCAAACCTCCATTCGCAGTGATGACGCCTAAGTATCATCACAATACAAGTATAATTGTCTCGTCGAAATAACAATCCCAACTCTTCTCGCATCCAGCGAAATGGCTCAAGAAAACGTGCGCGATAATGGTTGGTTTCTCCTTCTCAGACTTGCGAGGAACGTAAGCAATCGAAAAAATTTCCGATGTGTAATGAACGTGTATTTTCACACTAATATTTATAAATTAAATACTCACGCTCATATTTCTTTTTTGATTTGTTGGGTAACAATGTTCTTTCCGACTCTCTCACCGTCTCTTCCTCTGGTCGTCTCTAATTTTTGTCACACATCTCTTTTTCCATCTTTCTTTTGTTCCGTCTCTCTTTCTCTCTCTCTCTCCCTCTCTCTCCCTCTCTCTCCCTCTCTCTCCCTCTCTCTCCCTCTCTCTCCCTCCCTCCCTCTCTCCCCCTCTCTCCCCCTCTCGCTCTCGCTCTCTCTCGCTCTCTCTCGCTCTCTCTCGCTCTCTCTCGCTCTCTCTCTCGCTCGCTCGCTCTCTCTCTCTCTCGCTCTCTCTCGCTCTCTCTCTCTCGCTCTCTCTCGCTCTCTCTCGCTCTCTATCTCGCTCTTTCTCGCTCTCTCTCGCTCTCTCTCGCTCTCGCTCTCTCTCTCGCTCTCGCTGTCTCGCTCTCGCTCTCTCGCTCTCTCTCTCCCCTTCTCTATCTGTCCGCCTGTCTCTCCCTCTCAAACACATTTAGTTGCAGATTCTGTACGTCTCTGAGTAGGAGGGGTAATATCGAGAAGAGCCGGAGCATATATGTAATAGAATGTTCGAGAAGATCCCATCCTGAGGATTACGGTGTGAGAAATGTTTCTTTGAGGCATTTGGTCTTAAATTTTTTGTTTGTAATGCCATAGATAGATTCATTTAGGAGTTATTTAACGACATAGAGTCAAAAATCCTGCAGCGTGATGCGGGTTGCATTTGACATTAATATTTTGTTTTGTTCTTTGTTTTTTTTGTGTGAATTTTTTCGATACTTTAATAGTTTTTCTGCTAACCGGTACGGAGTCGAATCTAACAAATCAGAGATAATCAAAATTGCTCCAGCCGTTCTTGAGTTATAACCGGTGTAACTGAACCGAATTTGTTATGTTTGTATGTCCTCTTTTTTCATAATGGATTTACGGTAACTCAAGGAAGGGGTCCGTTAAATATGATCTTCGGAACAAGGACTACGCCTCCTCTACTTCTCCTTACGAATCTCACTATTTGGCAGTGACGGCTGGTGCTTATGTTGCACAATCCCGAATGTTATGAATATACATTATCGTTTTAATAACATTCAATATTCAAGATATTTTAGCAATGTCGATATATATGTGAAATCCTTTCGAAACCAAAGAGCGCCAAACTGGTGCTCGCGCCGGCGTCTGGCGCCCTCCGCCTTGCACCCCTGACCGCTTTCACTCCGCCCGTGGCATGGTGTCCTTATGTCCACCCCCGTGTGTGCCCCTGAACGAGGGCAACGCCACCCCTGCTGACGTGGGGATAGATTGGTCCGATAGTACATAAGACCGCGTTCGGCCACCGAAGTTTTCGTGCAAAAGCCTAACGGCTGCAGAAATATTTATGTATCCGCATTTCCCAATAAACTTCCGCCTCTCCAGGGTAACTGGAGGGGGCGGAGGGGGGGAATCGAAAAAAGAGAGAAAAAAGGGGGGAAACACGAAGTTTTCGTTTGTTTCTTGCTCTTCGTGAGCGCAGAAGCAATCATCGGCGACCTCATGCTACGGTTACCTTCGGGTAGAATCGACGGGCGGGAATCGACGTGAGGCCCTGGCGACACCTCCCTCCACAATGACAGATTGAGTACTGGGCTGCGTAGCCTCTATTAGGATGTAACCGTGTACTTGAAACAAGGGCTCATAATAAATCCCTTTTAATACTCTACCCGGAGTTTATCTTTCTCACGCTACATACTCCCACCCATCATGTCATCACGTCACAGTTCTTAGCTTTTGCCTCTATTTCTGCGTTTACTGCATTTACTCCTTGGCCCTACGCTTCAACACGCGATAATATGGGGGCTTCTGTGACGCAACTCATTGGTGGGGAGAGTCTTGCCGAGCGCAGGGAGGTGCCCCAAGGAGAATCCCAATTTTCTGTCGTCGTCCTTAATGTTCTGAATTTAATAATCTCTTAACTTAATCTATAACTTAAAATTTATGAATTTCGCGTGATATTGAAAGTTACACAGGTTCATTCAAGATTGAAGGATACACAAGTTCAGTCAATTATTGACGGTGTTGAATGATTTATGAAAATTCGTTTTCATTTGATATTAGGTTTATTGATTCACAATGTACACTAGGTGAATTATTTATGTAACTTCGGCCGTTGTGGAAGGAAGTCCCTTTCCATGTCTCACGGTGAATACATATTTCCGTCTGTAGCAGTCTGCAGTAACTGCTCCTGAACTGCACTGTAGTTACAGTTTGGAAGCGCTGGAGGGAACACGACCATGGACGTGGAAAGATCTTTCATTATTACAAAATATACCAATTTTTGAAATAAAATAATTTTATTTGTGTAAAACGTGTCGAATCAATAGTGCTTGTTGCAATGTGTTGAAGTCAATCACCGTATTTTCGAAACCAAGTTATTTTTTGTATGAAATATATTGCCGTCAATTGTTTCAAGAACTAAACTCTGCAGAACTAAATCAAAAACGTATGTGCCCAGTGGAAAGCAAAGCCAGAACCTCGTGCGCAGAAGGTGTATACTCTGCATTAAATTATGTAAGTAATGTTTAAATATAGACTTTTATTTAACTTACTTTTCATTAATTGACTTCAATTGCTTAAATTTTATTATATACAGAGTATTTTGCTTAACTCGCAACCCTTGTTTGAGAGCACTTGTTCCTGTTTCGGTAATTTGACAACAGCGTGCCTTCCAAGACATCGGTGCCAGGCACTTCGAAGTAGTGGAGGATGTAAGCGTCCAACAGCTTCCCTGTTTGTGTGTTTTTCCCATTCAAAAGGGCGGGCGGTGTCCGGCTCACACGCCGCGATCTTTTCGCGCTGCGCAGAGTGCTTGGGGTGGGGTGGGGAGGGGTGGGCAGAGACGACCAGGAAACTAAACGTCTCTTTAGGCGATTCTGCTCAGTGCTTAGGAAACAAAACTGTAATACTGAAGATGTGGGGGGGGGGAGTTATTACCAATTTATCGATTTATTAACAGCAATGTAACAATAATCATTATTTAAAGGAAGGGGGCTCAGAGAAATCAAAAAGATATCTCGTGAAACATTATCACGAAGCTCATCCTTATTATTAACAATAATGTAATATTATAATTGCGGAATCTGATTATTAAGCATTTAGAAACTTAATAAAATTATAAATACCAATAAAACATAAATAAGACGTAAATTCATAATTATTGAAAATAATGAATAAAAAATAATAAAATATAATTTCCTTAAGCTTACAAAAAACTGACCTTCAAGTAAATGCTCAAAGTGATCACCATTTGAGGAGAGACAGGCGTTTACTACTTTTTGGTGTAGTGGCTGCAGTGTAGTGAAGAGTAACACGGACACTGCTTTCTTTTTGTTTCAACTAAATTTAGCAGTGGTAGTCCTCTGCAAGTTTGTTCCCAATCTATATTATAGTAGACCGCTAACTCCCAAAACGCAACATAACATGACATTCCTAAATTCGTACATTCCTAAAAAGTAGTACAACCTGAATTCCAGCCCCCAAACACCTCTGAACAAAGATTTCTTTTCATTCCTTCAAGTTCTATTTCTAGTGAGCTTTTTTCGAAAAATCTGCTTTACACGGTACAATTTCGATCCAATTTTGCTCATACAAGACCGATCAGACTGAAATCTGTTGAGTGAAAAATGCATACTACGCTTAGTTTCCGTAATTGTATGTACTATTTACATTACAGTAGGAATTTTGTATTTTTTAAAATATAAAATGAATTCATTTTTAATGAATTATTTCTCATACAAGCTTCCAAATTTTGAGTATTTTGTAAAGACGAAACAATATTTTCTTTTCACCTCAGATAGTAACAAAGTATGTCAATGGTACAAAGGAAAACTAATCACAGCACAGATCAAATTCACTTATGATTTCTCTTCACTGGAATGCTTTCCCAATATTTTTTTGTATGAATCTTCAAGAAAAGTTCTCTGCTGCTTCTCTTCACTCAAATAGCCTTCTGTTACTTGCAATTTCAGTGAGAGGTCACGCCTGTAACATAAAGGACTAAAACGTATTCTGGAACATATTTGTATTTTGTAATACGAAATTCGCGAGAGAATGTGTTCGACAGTAATGTGCCAAACTACCAGTATGTAAAGTTTTATTAATGTATCTGTTTCGCCGTATATTCTCATACAATCACTGGCACAGTTAAGGCTGATGTCACACAATTGTGATGGTGCCCTTCAATTTCTCCTTCGAATGATGTAAAAATATTTATAAAATAATGTTTTGTTTATTTTTTGTTTTTGTTTTTTGTTATTTAAGGTCGAATCAACATCAAGATTCTTAGCTACCACTATTGCATTCAATTGTAGAGTAACTTTGAAAATGACATGGTGATGATAGGGGGTGAAAAGATGAACATAAATACAACCATGTCCAAGTTGGGATTTGAATCCGCGATCCTTCGGTCCGAGATCTCTAGGGCATTACTGCCTTCACGATCTCGGCCATCCGGACCGTCAAAAGAATGGTTTGTAAATTATTAAAAGTAAAAATATATTTATAATGAAAGTTAAAATGTCTTATTATAATTAAATAGAAAACTACCCTGCGTCGCTAGGGCTTCCTTCATATCCAATCGTTGTGACAGAGGAAATATATCAATTTTAATAATTAAACAGAAGTATTTCTTTTTACTTCTTTACTTTTACGCTGGAAATAATTCAAAGTTTTGCAATTTTCGAAAATTCAGAGTTAACATTGAAAATCGTACATATGCCACTTTTCTATGTGTATTTTACTGTAGTACAAATTTCAAGAAAAAAAAGGACCTGTTTCCGAGAAAATTTGGGGGGAAAATTCAGTTTCGAAATAACAGCACGCCTAGTTTTGACTGTAATGTTGTTCACGTATTACTCCTTATATACATATGTATACGGAAAAGTCAAAATTGGTGTCAGCTGGTGTTAGATGGAAGTTAAAGAGCTGACAATCGTGGGTTGAAGACATTGGTGTAACGTGCGAGTGGGCCCAGGTAAAACAGGGCCTAATTTTGGGCTGAAGGTTTTGCGATTCTAAGAAATATTAATTACTTGATACTTTATCTGTTACTTTGCGATAGTTCTTTCAATAAAAAATTAAATACAGCATCTTCCAAAAGATTTACTTGTTTTCGATTCGGTACTTTATGTAACCATGTTTCTAAAGCAATAAAAATAAGAAATTCATTAAGGTTTTATAACAATCTTAATTTCATAAAATTAAATAATAAACATTTTTCCACTCTTTTTTGTAAGCACTTTACCATTTTCAACAATAAATACACACACAAACTGTCTTTCGATTGTTTTTGTTTAGGTTTGAAGCTTACCATTTTATGTGATAACGTTCAGTCGAGAGCGTAGCCGACAACGCTTTTCAATAAGCAGAAGTTAGAATCAGGGAATTGAGAGCATCGTCTTGACTTAAATCGCCTTATTGAATGCTTCAGTTAATGGGATTTGAATGAGATTATGTGTCGATGGATAAAAGCCCGGATAAAAGGGGTCCTCCTTTTAAAAATATCCACAAAATTAATTTTACAGGCGATCCGGATAAAAGTTTTGCAGGCAGGTCCGCATTCATTTCGTTACGATACTGGTTGAAGAATATCCACATCTGGTCGAAAGAAGCCTGGTGTTGCAGTTCAGGGAAGGTGTCCAGAGCGTCGAATTAAACTGTAATCATTGCTGTCAATCGTGGGTTGAAGATTATCCACGTCTGGTTTGGAAGAAGCCAGGAATTGAAGTTCAAGGGAGTAGGTGTCCAGAGCGTCATTGAATTGAACGAAGTGGCAGCTGAATCCAGACGTATTAAGTCATTGCGTCGGTGTTTGTCATCAAACTGAACTGTTATATCAAGAAACAATTGTGTAATGTAATATTTTAATATATTAGTAATTGAATAATGAAAAAAGTCGAATTTAGGCTAGAAAGATAATTTTTTGCACAATAAGCAAAGTATAAGCCATTTGTAAGTTGGGTAACTAGTTGTTTTAAACAATATTAATTAAACTTAAAAAGATGGCGTATTTAGCTAAATGTAAAAAACGTAATTTGCTCAGTTTAGCTAGTGAATTTAATTGCGATGTATCTGAAAAAGAGACTACTAAAAATGGTTAAAAAGAGAAAAATAAAATTACTAGAACTGAGGATTAGGACGAAACAATAGTAAAAGGAATGTTAGAAACTATAATGTCGGAGGAACAGGTTAAGGAGAAACAGAAACAGGATAAATCAGAACAAGGAAGGCAGGGTAGAATACGAAAGGAGAAACAGGAGAAACAAACAGAACTGGCAAAAATTCTAGCAGAAATTGAAAAATGTAAGCTGATATCGGTGAAAATATTGCAGATATTTCAGGTGCTTAATTATTTTAAAATAACAAGAACAGAATAAAGACCAGGACCTACAAAGAATTAAATCGCAATTTATATAGTGTAGAAAGATAATTTTATGCATAATAGTATGAGTATAAGCCATTTGTATATGCTGGATCGATAACTAGTTGTCTTAAACAATATTAATTAAACAGAGAAATCTGAAGGTACAAAATTTATAATTCAATAACAGCTGGACCAATTTTAATTATCTGTAATGTTTTTGATTCCTCTCCGCCCCGAATAGCAGAATAACTATTAAAATATTGAAGAAATTCACGAAAAAAAACTATTTAAAAATTTTTTTTATACTAAATGCAACCCCCAAGACTCTGCAGAATTTTTGACTTATCGTTAAATTACTCCTAAACGAAGCGTTCCAGTGCATTAAAAATTAATATATTGAGGCCAAGGGTCTTAAAGTAACATTTCTCACACCGTAATTTACAGAATGAGATCATTTCGAATATTCTATTACATTTTTTTCTGGTTGAGCGTTTCTCGATATTACTCCACTTGCTTAGAAACGTGCAGAATCTGCAACTAGTAAATGGGTACGAGAGAGACAGAGAGAGGGGGAGGGAGACAGTGATAGGGGGAAAGTAAGAGGAAGAACGAGAGAGAGAGAAACGGAGAGCCGAAGAGAGAGGGAGAAACGAAAAGAGAGAGGGAGATGAAGAGTGACAGAGGGAGACGGAGAGAGGGCGACTACTTCAAATAATTTTAAAAAAATCTTCATTTAATTAATTTATATTTAAATGATGTTAATGTGCATCATTAATCACACTTTTTCCTTGGCTAAATTGTCATTGGTGCCCCTACATTAAAAATTAACATCACAATGTAAGCAAAGACTACCTCAATTCTTGCACCCTACTCTCAATTAAGCCAGAAGAGCTGTTTGCAATTGAATAGTTCATAACCTATTTATTGGAACTCTCATACTGATGCCTTGTAAGTACGTGTATGTCATAGTCAATGTCAATGTTATTAATCATAGACAGAGGCCGGAAATTGGACAAATGCCTTAGTATTACGACGATGTTAAGGCATTTAACACAAGGAAACACTCAACTACTTTGGAATTGTTTTAGATTTTCATTTTGTCTGTTTTGCTTATTTTGGGTATTTTTAAAGAAATAGTTTGCCCTATTTCGACCTACAAACATTATCGCCCCTTTAGGTCTTGGCATTGAACACTTTAACCTTATGCGTGTAAAAATAACAATACATAATATAGCATGTTTCCATACTTTTCTGCCTGGAGCGATACCATATCTCGTTTCAATTTGCTTAGTTCTTGATTCTGATGGAGAAATTTGTTTTGAGCTTCAACAAGTTCAGAATGTAGACGATGTGCCTTTTCCTGCAATGAAAACAAGGTTACATGAATGTTATGGATACTGAGAGAGATAACAATAGAAAGTGCAATATGTGCAAGGTTTATTCTATGGGATGTGTTCTACTCATACACATACCAAGTTGAATTATGAAATTACTTACATTACTGAAATTGTATTACTCAAAGGTGAAAACATTAGTTTAATTATTTTTTGGCTCGGAATTGCTTTTCTTGAGCTACGTAAGAACGCGGAAAATAATCCAATACTTTTTAATAAACAAATAATTTTTCAATTTTCGTACCCCAGCAAGCTGGCGCCGGTCCCTCTAAAACCCCTCTCTGTTCCTCGTAACAATTCCATGAAAGTCAAATAATATTGCAAAGAGTAGGGTTGTAATTGCCCGATCCTGTATTTTCGCATGGAAAACTTTACTTGGTTTCCTCAAGAGCAAAAACCTTTTGTAATATTTTTGTGACTATCAAGGAAAGCGAAAGCTAAGTGTCAGGGAAGATTGAGTAATTACTTCAAATGTTTTTAAGGAAGTTGAATTGTGAATTGTTCCAATATCTGTATAATGCTGAAAAAACCTTTATTGAAAAATTGTTTCCACAATTAATTGCAATCTTTTTTTGTTTTTTGTTAGGTATTCTGTAAGTACGAACATTTATACATTTTTTAACAAACACGTTTCATTAACAACTTTTCTTCTTAATGGAAAGAATAGGGAAATGGATAGGGAAAGGATGGGCATTAACATGTGAGAGTGTGTCTTCTGCGATCAGATCCAAAAAAATTCAAAACAGTCATCGGTCGTTGTAGTAAATATAAAAGCGTTTCTCGTTATTTGTGGCATCAATGTATAAAATTCTTCGTACTTTTTCTTTTCTAGGACCATGGGCCCTTTTCTTCGTTTCCCAAAGAGATATTAACAATTCGATGAAAAATGTAGATAAAGAAGGTAAAAGCACCGTACCGTTTGTGCATGAATAGAAGCGAACACGTTTTGTTTATTGGACGAGAAGAAGTTACCAAACGCTGAGTCATATTGGCGCGCCAGTATAAAGGATCCCGTGGATTTCGCCGCCACGCCTATCGCGGAGCTTTGCGCGCCGCTCCCGCTGCGGATATTCCGCGCGGTGGAAACTAGTACATTAGATATCATTGTTAAAACGAATGTTATTCCCCTTTTAATGCTCAATGTAGTCTCTAATTGTGTAGAAATGGGTATGCATCAGAAAAGATTTTATTTGGCACTTGGGTATCTATTTTAATTGTTTAATGTCATCTGGCAATTTTTAAAATACTGAACATGTATTGTAAGTGATATTTTCGTTGTGAGCTGTTGATACTGGTACGAAACCTAATGTGAATGATTTCTACGTAGAATGTAATAGTTATAGATATCAGTAATGGTTGGAAATATGTTCTCGCCCTTAGCAAGTCAGTTTTTAGAAAGAACTCTTATTCTTAAATCGAGTCACGGAAATGGTAGAATTTCTAGCTATATAAAGAGATGTTTCCAAGAATCACGTGGGTGGGGTTTGATTACTATTCGTAAAATTATTTTCTGTAATCTAAAAGTCTGGGAGCTATAAGATGGTTTCCCCATAATATTGGACCATATCTCAGGTGGCAATGAACATTCGCGAAATATATGCAACAAGCAAGATGAAGGCCATTTTGTGAGTTCTTTGTACTCTGACTAGGGACAGTTCCTAATACATTTTTGTTTTAATTTATCTCCTGAATTTATTATTCCCGATTTCACATTCCACCGACTGTTGCCTGAGGGTTAACCCAAGATGGCGAAATATTTACGTAAAGTATTTTTTTTCTCCTAGGACTGGGAACTTTTAGTTTTTTACTCATAAATAATAATACTTACTTCAGTTATCAACATTTCATTATGTATTAAGCTGCGAAACATATGTAATCATACACATATCCTATTTGAAAACTACAATAACAATTTTCCTAAACACAATCTTTCATGAATTCTCTTATTCTCATTACCTAATACTCGCTACAAATCTCTCCCTTTTTGCATGCATGGCCAAATTCCCTCGTAATAATTAATTCAGAAAATTTACTTTAACACAAAACTTGGTCTTCCTACAATAGCAAATAAAATAAAAATAAATGTTCCCCATTTTGCTACTTTCCTTTCGGAGATCCACCCCAAACTTGAACGTCATCCAGTTTCCAATCAGCCTTCATTTCCAAAGAATTCGCTCCACTGGAATGATGTTCACGTCAATTCAGTCTAATTCTTACCACAACCAAATAGCTTTCCCTCCTACATCTGACTCACAGTGTCCGAACGTCTGCCCCGTTTTTTCATCTCGTGCGCCCTTCACCTTTCTTTCATCTGCGCAAAACTATACTCAAACACGTATTTTCTTCTTTTCTCGCACACCGATCCTTCAATTCTTCTCACGCGATTTAACTCCTAACTCCTGATTAGTCAAATATATTTCAAATAGTATCTGTTTATTCTTTGGTTTCCAGCTCGTAATAACTTCTAAATTTATTTCCTGTCCCAATGAATTTGCTCACATGTGCTTTCACTGCATTATTTGTTAACATATTATGTACTTTCCACACGATCAATTCTATTGTCCTTTCCTTGTATTGTTTCCAAAAGAAAGCTCACCTCGATTTCTTTTGTATACCCCCATTGTTGCTGTAGTCCATATGTATAATTACGTAAATTTATTATTCTATTTAATTACTCTTTGTGACAACCCATCACAGTACCGAAAAATTGGTTTACGGCAAAACGTTTGTCCGTCTGTGGTACAATGCCTTATTCGTTCCGTCCACATTATCCCAAATTGATATTCCCCCATCGGTCTGTCCGAATTCGAGGCACTACAAACATGAAACGGACATTTTGACTTTCGATGTACTTTACATGAAGCTTCAACATTCTCGAAATATTCTCAAACTGGCTCCAAATTTGAGGATTAATTTTTTTTTCCGGATAAAGTAAAGGACGCTTAAAATGGTTGTTAAGTCTGCGAAATATTGCTTAGAAGATTGGGAGAGCACTTGCAGAAACTGCGACTAGAGAAGTTCTGTGCATCGCCTTGCTGTGTTCTTGTCAGGCGAGAAAATTCTGAAAAGGCGACACATAATAGACGAGATTAACCTTTGCAGTAAGAATTATTAAGAATTGAAAAGATTGTCGTGGTTACCTCTGCCTGGACGAAAATAAACGATCTCCGTACGAATTCTTCGTCTTTCATGCTTTCTGCTTCATGCCGCGTCTCAGAGCACCGATCACGGAGGCTGCATTTTAACTTTCAATGCGCCCAATAGACGTATTGGTTAGCTTCTCTACACGATTGCTACGAAACTGTTCGCGGCTCCAGATTATCAAACAATGCGATCTCGTCGCGTCTTATGTGATAAAAATTGAATTACGGGAAAATGCCTATAATGTGCAGACTTTTCGTTGCCGGCCGCTCAGTAGGTGGTGCGATCTACAGATCACTTTCGGAAGCAGTTGAAAAGAGATTTCTTAAGGGCTTCATACAAAATAAACTTTTTGTTCCTTGTGGGAGAATTTGCTGTTGTTGTTCTTTTTGTTTTTTGCCAAAATCTCGAACGCAGGAAATTTGAAATGCATAATCACGTCTTAAATGTCTTCAAAGTGTAGCCAAACTGAATGAGCTCCAAGCGTGGTGCCAAATTTGAATTAATTTGGCCGCCTATGCCAACAATGGGCATAGGCACCATTCGTTAAAACTGAATTTACACAAATTATAAAAGTTCATTCTTTTCGGGGACTTCCTACAACAAGAACACTGAAGACTGATATTTTTTAAATAAAAACTATTCCTCGAAGGTAGATCTTTAAATAAGGTCACGTGCAATGTTTCGAAAATATGAGTAGTATAATTCCAATCATATGAGTAGTATCACTATGATTCTGGTTAACAAGTTTCATTGTACTTTGATTTTGTTGACATGAGCATTGTTAATACCTTTAGCAATATTCATGTAATCAAAGTCCAAAAGAATGTCACAAATAGCACAAGCATGCTGCACAGAAACTTCTCATACAAAATAATATTTTTGATCAGAGTAGATGGCCTCCTCCCTGTTAGCAAAATTTACTTGAACTAATTTTCTAGCTTTTATGGTAATATTTTGGATAGAACTGAATACCTTCATTAGAATATTATTCATACTCATCGGTTCAAAACCCTTCTTTGTAACATACGTGAAAAAATTTGAAGCCGTTTCTGAAAAAATAATAGTTTAAATTTTAAAAACTGAGTATATTTGATACAAAATTAAGCTAAAGTATTTTCGAAAAACTGAACATGACATTTGCAGATCTGTTTCTGAACACATTTCTTTAAGAAAAAGTTAGTTGCACAAAGACGCCGAATTTTTGAAATTTTCGAAAAAACAGAAATTTCAATGAAAATTAGACCTTCAGCGTTCTCTTAAGCGTCCTTCACGCTATCTGATGCCAAAATTTAATTTAAAAAAATTGGTGCTATTTTTAAAAATATTGATATTATCGCAGTGGTTTCATGTAAAGTAAACCCCAAATTAAAATAACGGTTTCAAATTCAAGCGGCCGCGGCATCACCCAGATCGATTGGGGAATATCAATTTTGTTGATAATCGTGATTATGGTTTAACCACTAGCGTTGTTCACAGACGGACGGACGGACGGGCGGGCAGACGTTTGGCGATCATTTGATTTTTCGGTACGATCTACAAAATATTGATTCTGACTACACGTATTAGAGGCCAAGATCTATCCACTTTTCCGTTACCAGGGCCCAGTAATGAGATTTTTTTTATGGTAAATACGCCAATTTTACAATACATTCTCTATTCAATACTTTATGCAATTACCCTCTATATAATTACAATACTTTGTCTATACTGGATAAGCAGTAGTGAAATGGTAAGAGGTAGTCCAGTAGCTGAATAAAGACTAATAAAAATTGCAGATTGGCTAATAAACGTTGCATTTGCTAAGGAACGTTACACAATAATACACAATAATTTTCAATATCTTTTTTTAAAAAATTGAATAAGAATTAAATGTCATTCATAAATTGATTAATTATTAAAAGCTGTTCCTTAATTTTAATAATTATTAATGGTGATTATTCATAAACTATACAAATTTGACAAACCTTAAGTAAATGAATTTGCTCCTTGCATTGCAATATATTATCTTCTTTTATTAGTAAAATTGCTTCTGTTTTATGACAATCGTTTTGCATTTTATGTTTTGCTTTTAGTAATTGGCCCTGAAGGTCTTCAACCTGCAGTAAGTTTATTTTAAAAATGTTTCACTTTGCAAACATAAGTTATATATTAAATACAATACAAGAGCTCTCGTGTAGTTTTTTGACAGTGGGGCTTACTTGTATTTGTAGATTGCTGACACATTGTTGCAATTGATCTTGTGATGACTGAATTTCATTTTCATTATTCTTTTGCTTCACTTTTTCATTTAGTACAGAAATTTCGGAACTTAGTACCGTTACTTCATCCTCCTTTTGGATCTAAATGAAATGCATTTTGAAAAATTAATTATAAATTCACATATATGTAAATACAAGTCCAGGTACATGGATTGGTATATCGAAGTTGTACATAGATATATGTTTATATTAGCAATTACGGTACCTTCTGTTCTCTCAGAGATTGTATCTGTGATGTTAGTTCCTGTACTTTCTCATTTGCAATTCTAAATTTCAATTTTGTTTGGTAAATAAGTTTCAATGCTTTGAGAAGTTTAAATGATAAATCTTTTTTGTGTGTATGTAAACACTTTTCTTTGTTCATAAGATCTTTGATTATTTGTTCTGCTTCTATTTTCTTCATCTCCACAAGTTTCATATCTTGGAATAGCTGAGAGGTTTCGTTTGAATGTACTCTAAAATCCAAGAATCATATATACAGGATGAGTCACGTAACTTTAACACCTCCTGCAGTTTTTGGATGGTTGAAGTTATTACAAAGCTATTTTCACGGAAGGGCATAAGGAAATGGGGCTAATTGATAATGAATTCATTTCTATATTATGACACGAATTTTACAAGATACTAAAGTAACTTTGTTTTTAGAAACGGAACCAATTTTTTTTAGTCTATTATGACGAGCGTAGAAAGACAAATCCATTGATATATATATTGTCATATGTTAGATCAGCATTTTTTTGTGTTATATTCATTTCTTTGTGACTCGTGTGAACATGAGGGAACACAAATACATGCAATGGTACATGTGTGAAACATGTGGGAACATATAGGGAACTGGCAGGAAAGCAAGGGAACAATAATATGTGGGGAACATGTAGGGAATGTAAAGACATGCTGATAAAGTGCAAGGAATATGTGGGGGAAGATGTAAGGAAACATGCTGGAGCAAGTTCCAGTAAGAAGTTACTGTTGCTTTTCAAACAATAATAAGGGCAGAATGTTGACATGGGTCCAGCTTGTTTAATATAGTATAATATGGCTTGGAAAATTGGAAAAAGTAAGGTGAAAGGTAACAAGTTTATTCAGGGGTCTAAGTGTATGTTCGTTAATCTATTTATTTTCTTACTTCTTATTAATTTCATTGTGTTCATCCTTCATCATTGGTAACACATGCTATTGTCTACATCTTGGTATGTAAATTAACAAGTCGCCATCCTTATAACATAGTAGCAGTTATCCTTCATTATAAAGGAAAATAATTCTTAGAGGAATATCTATTATCAAGGAAGGAGAAAAGGAATCCTAATGCTGATTCGCTAAACATATATTTTCCCCAAAACATACATTATCTTTTCATAAACAAATGACCCTGTTGGCCCAAGGTTTTCCTTTCTAAAAAGTCTTTTTGAGGAATAAGGGAATTCTAAATACCTTTTGATGTCTTGAAGCTCCTGGGCATGCTGCTTTTCAAGTTGCCCTAGAGCACTTAGGTCTTCTCTGGTTCTCTTTAACTCCTGCCTAGAGTCTTCTAATGCGTTTGTCACATCAGAATGTTGCTTTTGTAACAGCTGCTGCAACTTCATTAAGTTGTGTCCCTCACTTTCGACTATGTGAAGCTGATTTTCCAGCTGTTCGTTTTTCCTGGAATGTGACAGCCAAAAAAATCTCTTTCATATTGTCTCTAATATTCTAAATCAATAATTTCAAACTTTTGACTATGGAATTTTTGAAAAAAATATTATTTTAGTACAAATCTAACTTTACCCTTAATTTCTATAAATGGCAAATGGAAAATGATTTCTGATTATTTCTATATTAGCCAACAGCACATTATAAAATCGTACACATCAGAATAGCATATGTGTATTAGGGGAGTCAGTGACTGAACTTTTAGTTTTTTGTTTGGAGTTTTTATTTCAAAATTTATTTTATTTCAATGTGTGATTTTAAAAGAAGCCCTTATGACATACCTGTAGGATGTGAGTTCTACAAGGCAATTTGGAAACTAAATATGAAAATTCTTGATACTTAGATAATGCACAAGATTTGTTGTTTTAGAAAACAAATCATTCATGTTTAAAGAGCCGTAGAAGTTAGCAGGAAAATTATTTTATACCTCTTTTCTTGAGCCAAGTGACTTAATGTCCTGCCATAATCAGAGAGACGTGACTCCATTTCCTCATTCTTTTCCTTCAGGACTAATGCTTCTTCTTTATTGTTTTCCAGGGCCTGTTAAGCAACATCAACATATTTTTCTGTGTTTAAGTAACCAAACAATTTATCTCTGTTCATAATGTGATTCCTTTATATATTCCAATATATTTGCCACAACATATTAAGGCCTAGTTCTATTTTCTGAGCTTTAACTTCTCTTTTGAAATGTGTTTTTTAACATTATCCCACAATCTTCATTTTGGTAACTCCAATTAGTAAATAATAGTTATTATGAAAGAAGATATCTTAAAACATTAAGAGATTGGTGAATTACCAAAAAATGCCCTTAGGCTTTTTAATAACCAATCAAGTATTCTGATAAGAAGTTACAACTATCTGACTATCCAATACAAATAATGGTATAGAATTAAGGAATTTTGCTACCTATAATAAATTAAAAATAACCAACACATTCTTTAGACAAAGATATTCTAAATATACTTGGAATGCTAGAGAATGGAGATCACTCATAGATTATGTTATAGTTAATGAGAAATTATCAACCCTAATTCAAGATACAAGAGTTTGTAGAGGCAAAGATATATACTAAGATCACTGTTTGGCTGTCTCAACTATTAAATTACTAAGTAGGTGGAAAAATCTAAGCCCCAAAAATAAAAACAATATAGAAGAAGGTTTTAAAGTATATCTGCTTCAAGAACAGAGTATTAAAAAGCTATATCAACAGAGACTAGATAATTACTTAGAAAATATACCAACAAGTGCTAAAGTAGGGAAAGAATGGGAAAATATTAAAACCTGCATAGAAAAAGCAGCTTTTGAAAGCCAAGGAAAGAAAAAGAAGTTCAGAAAAAGGAAAGGACTCAGAGTATGAAATGAACAACTTAAAGAAGCAGTGGCCGAGCAAAAGAAAGCATACTTGAAATATCTTCAAACATGAAATGAAGAAACTAAGAAAGAATATAACTGCTATAGAAATGAAGCCAAAAGGTTATCTCGTATAGCACATCAGGAGGCATGGGATCACTTCATAAATAGAATAGAAAGTGATATTCACAGGAAGCAAGCACTAGCCTATAAAATAATGAGACAACTCAATCACAAAAAAAAAAAGGATACGGTTCAATTGAAAGTTATAGATGAAGAGAAAAGGCTACAACACTATAAAAATCTATGGTTCAACCCACTGAAAGAAAAGGAAGAACATGAAGAACAAGAGAAAGATAATATTGATACACTAACAAGAGAAGAATTATTACAAGTATAAAAGAAATGAAATGTAGAAAAGCTACTGGTATAGGTAATATAAACATAGAATTACTAAATTATGGAAGCAGTTTTCCCATTTAAGGCTGTTACATCTACGCAATCAATGTTGCCTAAGAAATACGATAACAGAAGAATGGCAAACAGCCCTAATAATATCTGTGTTTAAAAAAGGGGATGGAAGTAGCTGAAAATTATAGAGGTATTAGCCTCTTAAACAGAACATAAAATCTACAGCAAAATGATCCAAAAGAGGATTAAGATGATAGCTGAAGTTATATTGTTAGAAGAACAAAATGGCTTCAGAAAGGGAAGATCCTGCACAGATAATGTTTTTATATTGAACCAAATAATAGAGAAAAGAAGAGAGTTTAATTTAGACACGCATATTGCATTCATTGATTTTGAAAAAGCCTTCGACCGTGCAAACAGGAGAAGATTATGAGCCATAATGGATCAAAGAGGCTTTCCAAATCAATTAATAAGCATAGCTAAAAGTTTATATAAAAATACAAAAATCTGAATAAAAATAAATTCATAACAATCACAACCATTAAAAACTAACCAAGGATTAAAACAAGGTTGCAGCCTTTCCACCATATTATTTAACATATATATAGACGATATTCTTAGAGAATAGAAATTAGTAGTAAAACAAGGGATCAGATTGAACGGAAATAATTATATCAATACTCTTGCTATTTGCTGATGACCAAGTTATTATTTATGTATGAAAAGGAAAATGATCTCCAAATGGCACTCCAACAATTAAATCTAACGTGTAAAAATTATAACATGAAAATATCAAAACAAAAAATGAAGGTCATGGCTTTTAAAGGAGTCTATCCAATTAGGACAAAGATATGCCTGGAAAACCAAACAATAGAACAAATATCACATTTCAATTACCTGGGATGTGATATAAGTTACGACCGGAGTCAAGATATAATAAAATAAATTGCACAAGTTCCAATATATATGCAGCACACTACATAGAATATTAAGAAATAAGACTAGAAAAGACTCTATGTTAATTTTTTTTTAAACAATGGCAACACCAGTAGTCCTGTATGGGAGTGAAAAGAAAAAATGAATATTCAAGCTACAGAGATGAAATTTTTAAGGAGAGTAAAAGGTTGTAGGAGAGTGATGCAGTAAATTCTCACCTATGCATCCTCCACAACATGTTGCTGAGTTGCTGTTGCTCTAATCTGAAATTTCTTCCTTTATGAAAAAGTTGTCCCCCAATCTTATTGTTAGGTGCAGTCAGCATCACCAATTAAATCTGACTTTAATTACCATTAATTTAATATATTACACAGTAAAATTAATACAAATTGTTTTAATTGTTATATAATTTATTTTTACTTTTTGTAAATAGTAGGGGGAGGTTGCAAGCATTGTGTAATTATTTAGGGGGGGTTCAAGCACATGTTAGAGGTGCATTACAGTGGGAGAGGGGGAATTCAAATTTGTGTTACGTAATTTATGGATGGCCCCTTACTGTTGAAAGTGATGACTAGAGCCTGAAAGTTTGGCAAATGGCTTTTTGTAATTGTTACTATTTTATGACTTAATAACAGGAATCACTTAATTGTATTTCTGGGGTTGTTTTAGTAGATTTTTATTTTGCCTATTTTATCTTATGATACCTATTTTTGCCATTTTGCCTTTTCTGCCTTGCCTTCTCATTATATGAAGATTTTCCTTTTGCCTATTTTAGCTTCTGATGACTTTTTTTTCTCTTATTTTTCCGCATTATTTTGCTTTTTTTTTTTCTCCTGGCACCGATGTGATCGAGTTGGATACCTACAAGCCTGGACAACTCAAAGGCACAGTTGTGTTTTGTCTTTCTGTGGAAGCATAAGTAAAAATAAATGTCTTTTGCCTGCCTATTTTAGGTAAAATAAATGCCTCAGCCTCTGGGCTCTAGTGATAACATACAAATTTGATATATAGGCCTGTGGATGTGTGCGAATGTTATTTACATATGTGTAATTTTTGATAATCAAAAGTTTTTATTATTGGATTGTGTTCTATTCACAAAAAAAGGGTAAAGAAAAAACTTGGAGCTAATGAGAAAAAAACGTTGACATATTATTGGAGACTTGTTATCATTTCACTCAAATTATGAAAGACTACTCATATTTAGAAAATGTACATGATAACATTTAAAAATTTATTTACAAGCTGCATGCCTCTTTACTTCTTCAGTCAATTCAGTAGGGTATAGTCGTAAGGTAGCAATCCCAGAATTTCATGCCCTTGCTCTCTTGCTATTTCCTCAGTGATGTACTTCTTAACATTTTCAGAATACTTTTGTGGAGATTCGAGAAGCTCTGCCTCAGTAAAAATAACAATAACATTATCTTTGTTGTTGTTGTTGTTGTTGTTGTTGTTATTATTATTATTATTATTATTATTATTATTATTATTATTATTATTATTATTATTATTATTATTACTACTACTACTACTACTCCTACTACTACTACTACTACTACTACTACTACTACTACTACTACTACTACTACTACTGGAATATGTAAAATAATGATGACTACAAATAATAACCTTCATAAGTTCCTCCTTTTCCTTATCAATATTCTTCATCTCAGTAGTCAAGTTCTCATTCTGAGTCTTTAATTCATTAATAGTAGCTATGAAGTTAGCTTCTTTTGCTGACATTTCTTTCTCATAATTATAATATTCTAATGAAAGAAACAATAAAAATTATATTTTCTAAGCTTCCTGGTACTAATAACATTCAATATCAATGTATAATACTTTACAGTGAAGTGACTTAATGAATAACAAAACAATAAATCTGTTAGATCCTTAATACTGTTGATTTATTAAAGATCTTGAAATTCCAGAACTAGAAATGCAAGGGTATAATAAATAGGGGGGGGGGGAGAATTAAAACAGCATTTAAATATTTTCAATTTAATACCAAGTTTGTGACAGGGTATCAGGGTCAGATTAATATATTAAGGGGCCCTACTCATGGCCAAATAATGATGCTTCCTAAAATTTGGAAATATTGAATACAAGTAAACAAAATCAGTATGAAATTAAAACTACAACCTTTGCAATTTTAAGAATTATTATTAGAATAATAAATGCAATACTATATACCCATGCACACAAATGTAATTTAAAATAAATCTACATACTGGTGCAAGAAATTTTAAAAGATGTATTATCAATGATTCAAAATGTGAATTTTTTGTGTCATTAATAAAAGTAGTGGAAATTATTTTTACATATTTACAAGACAACAAAATTCAGTTTCAACAATTATTGGGGGTCCCTTATCCTGCAAGGTCTATTAGCATGGATTGCATGTTTATGTATTAATCCACCCCCAGCATGGTACTGAACATTAACTAATATTTGGACAGTTTGGAAAGGTAATCGTAATTTATGAAACATGAAATTAAAGATAGCTGCAATCTAAAGGAAATATTAATCATCCTGAGTGAGTGATCAAATTACTCCCAATTTAATATCTCTAGCAAATAGAATCTTTAATCCATTTGATTTGAATCACATCTATATTTTTTGGGACTTCATCTTGAATGGGGCTTCAACCCCTTCCACCTCCCAAGCCAGTGATAAACAATTAACAAACATAGCTTTAACTAATTTTCCACACTGACTAAAGTAATTATGTTTATTAGTTGTTTATGTCATACTTATTAACTATAAATCAACTAATGAACATACATTTTATTTTTAAGATAAATAATTCTTAACAAGAAAACATCAAATCACCTGTATACTATATATCTGTACCCCTGCCCCCCGGAAAAATTCTAGGTGCATCTCTGTTTTTCAGAAAATGAAAAGACTTTAAACACAGAATAGTGAAATATTTGTCTTCACAACTTCAATCATCCCATTCCAACACCATCTACAACATTTCCATAGAGTTGCCAGGGAATGTTAGGTAGACGTAATGGTTCTTCTGACTGGTTTTGTTATAACATAGCATTTTTTAATCACTCAGAGTCCTTTTATTTTACATTCACAAAAGTAGCCATCATTATCATGATTTCCTTTTTCATGCCAAACCTATTGAAATACCAATATTTATAGGTAGATGGCCACATGTGCAAAAATGCAAGTCAACACAATATACATTTTGAAAAGAAGAGTCTTCTCCTATCATTTGTTTAAATAATTAACAATTAATTATAAACCCAACAAATATAGTGTTACAAACTAATGTTTTGCAGATTTGAAACTAAGTCACAAAAATTAGAATTTATCCTGTTGAGTTGAGAAAAAAAATTAATTTTGCAGGCTTGTTTTATTAGAGAATGTGATATAAAATGAAGATGTGTTATGTTCCATAGACATTTAATACAAAGTGCAAAATATGAAAAATCTGTCAAAAAGTTTCATGTTTCTTGCACAAATTATGATATGAAATGTTTATCAAACATACCTTCAGTCAATAATTTACAATTTTGAGTTTCTTGTTGAACTCGCAGTTGTAAAGTTTCCACCTCTGTCATGAAGGCTTTTTGCTGGCCAAGTGTTGTTGCATATTCATTTTCTGTTTCATTTTGTTTGTTAACCGCTTCATTTAATTGAATCTTAAGCTCTGTGATTTTGACTTCTTGCATTTTAATGGTTCTTTTTGCTTGTTTTAGTATATTGCTGTTTCTTTCATGTAACTCATGTAACAGCATAACTTGAGACTGCAACCTGGATTTTTCTTCATTTCCATTTTGCTTCTCATCTAAGATGAACTTATATTCTTCAATTTCATACTCTAGGTCAGCTGATTTGTTGTTGTGCAGAGCAAGATCACAGGTAACTTGATGTAACTCAGATTCCACACTTTCCTTCTGACTAACATTAACCTTTGTCAAATAATCTTGTAATTTATTTATCTGAGCCTTCATTCCTTTGATGTGTTCTTTTTGCAAGGAACAGTATTTGACAAGAGTGTCGTTTTTACTGTGCATCTCTTTAATATTTTGTTGAAGTGTTTCAGTTACATGAAGTAAATTATTGCGATCTTCTTTAAGTTTATCTCTTTCCTGAACAGTACTATCATGATCTTTTAATAAATTTTGAATTTCTATATAATGATTTCTTATTTGACTTGCATCCTGCAGATCCTTTTGCAAAACCTCAAGAGTTTTTGTTTTTTCAGCCAGTTGATGATCTTTCTCTACTAACCTACATTCAGCTGTTTGTAAATCTTCCTGAAAGGACAGTAACGTTGCCTCTTTTTCTTGAAGTTTTATGACGGTATTATTTAGATCATCTTGAGTAATTTTTAAAGTAGTTTCCAATGCTTCAAACTCATATTTTATTGAATTTAATGTCACTGTGTTGCTATTATTGATTTCGGCAATATGATTTTCCAATTCTTGGATTTTGTTATTCAGAATAAAAATTTGATTTTCATAACTTTGCTGTATCATGTTTAGATCTTGACACTTCTCTTCCAGATTATTGATGATATCTTTTTTCTCATCTGAAAACATGAATACTTGATGTCTTAAACAATAAGATATCTTATTAATCTAATTTTAAAACTAAAATAAACTGTTTTAACATATTTTTCTTATTCTTTCCGTTCAACTGGTTGTGATAAAACAGCAATCATTCTCATTACACTATTCTAATTTAGGTTATATCTAGAAGATTGAAGTTTTGCCTGGAATGTTTATTCAGGAATGTTCATTTATTAATGTTGCACGCATTGCAAAGCATTATCTTCAATGATATTTACTCAATAAAGGTTGTTATTTTTTTTTAAAACTATTTATTACTATTTTGGCATTTCTTTGTTTCTTGCCTTGTCAAACATGTGAATAAATTTTCATACCTCGGAAACATCAAAAGTGTATACAACCAAACTCAGCAAGGCATAGAAAACAAACTTAACAACTACAATAGAATATGCGGAGCAATTAAGAGACACTTTGGCAGAGACATGGACCCGGGAAAAAGATTTAAACTCTACAATGCAGCTGCTACTCCTAGAATCATGTATGTGAAACATGTATACTCTGGTATATACTCGCTCATGTGTGTGAAACATGGATAATGGAGAAAGACAAACAAAAACTACAAATGGCACATATGAGATTTCAAAGACAGCATTTTCATGGGAATCACAATAAGAGACAGACTGAGAAATAAGGACATCAGAAAGATATTGAAAACCACATGTTTAATAAATAGAAGAGATAGAACATTCTCAAAGGAGATGGAAATATCATTTACAGAGAATGAACAACAATAGATTTCCCAAAATGAATCTGAAAGTACAAACCAAGAGGGATCAGAGATAGAAGCAAACCACTAAAGAACACAGGTGGCAACAGCAGGAACCCTTAGAAGACTAATAATTTACCAATACTGTAATAAACCAATGGAAACAGGCTGTAAAGTGGTCAGTTTGTGATGATGATGTTGAGGTGTTTTATTTATTTATTACCCTAATGAGTGGACTATTTTCATAGAAGTTTTAATTTTACCATTGATTTCTGAAAAATGCATTGTGTAGAATATTTGCTCCATTATCCCTAAAACTGTTCAAGAAATAATTTTAAAATTTTGAGAGAATGTAAATATTGTAATAATGGATACAAACAACACACATGCTACCAAAATTGATGAAGCTTTTTTTTTTTTTATTATTATTTATTTTTTTTTTTTTATTCTAAAGAAAAAAATACAAAAATAGTATGAAAATGTTTGTTTACTTTAAAGGGTTTAGCGGAATAAGATTGTGAATTTGGCCCATGACCGAATAAGAGGAGGATAATGTTATTTTACTCTACTCACAAAATAACATAAAAAACAATTGTTTATAATTGTTTATGTTAATATAGTGACTATAATACTGAACAATGTGTTATTCCCCCTTTTCTCACATTTAATGTATCTCAGCAAATTTGAGATGTTATAAGATGTACAATAATTTATTGTAATATTTTTTATGCTTAAGACCAATCTAAGGGATGACTTTCACTGAAAATAGTACTTTTTCTATTTTTTTACAAGTTCTTTCAAGGCAAATGCTTGATTTAGGAATAAAATGATGATTTTCATTGGATTCCTCATTAAAAAAAAATCGATTGATAGATTCCATTTTACTTTTGGTCCACTCCATTTTCGGACTTAGAAATGATTCACTTGTAAGTCTTAAATCAATTTTGTTGTTGTTGTTGTTGTTGCTTTGATTTAATTGCCATGTCCTTAGATTACTCTTATATTTTCCATGTACATAATGTGAGTGGAAATACAAATAAAAAGAACGACATATATGGGTAAACAAAGAAGCAGTTATTTCCCAATGAATCTCTAATGCTCTTTTTGTGATCTAATGTATGCCTGTTGCTGTGTGAACTAGCTTTCCCACTCTGCCAATGGAAGGGCAAGGGGTGCTAAGGGAAAGATAATTTGATAGTGTTCCCATTGAAAAGCGTGTTTCCAACAGTAGAAACAAAAGTCACAAATTTTATTATTAATATTTGTTTGACAGTGTATTATTCATTCAGCTAATGGAATATTTTTGATTCAGAGTACATTGAGGTGACACAAGTCATGGAATAGCAGTATGCAAATATACAGGTGACAGTAGTATCATGTACAAAAGGCATTGGCAGTGTTTTCATTTGCACTATCCTTTTCGAAGTGATTCATGTGAAAAGGTTTCTGAAAAAGTCATTGGCCACTGCATTGTTCATAGTGAAAGGTTATGCCTGAAAGTAGATATTCTCAGCACACTCTTGACATTGTGGATCTCGGATTATTGAATTCCCAAACTATTTCCGAAGTAGAATGTCCCACACATCTAGCTTCAATTACCATTTGGCATTCAAAGTCTGTTAATTTCTGTCGTATGGCCGTAATTACGTCAGAAAAAATGTCAGTGAAAATAGTCCCTTAAATTGGTCTTAAGTATCAAAAATGTGATAATAAATTACTATACATTTTGGAAAATTAAGAAAAAAGGGAGAAAAACACATTTTTTGATATTATGTCACTAAAGTAACATAAACAATTATAACAATTTGTTTTTCTATGTTATTTTGTAAGTAGAATAAGATAATATTATCCTCTTCTAGTTTGACTGTGGGCCACATTCACCTATCTTATTCAGCTTTTACCCCGTAATGAAAATTAGAAAAGTGTCCAAATAATATAAATTTGCTTCCAATTAATTAAAGTCAATTCACCAAGCAGCTCCTGGAATTATACAGCAAATGGCTATAATAGTTTCTTAGACAATGGATCAAATGTACAGCCAAATGAACATGGTAGAGATAGTTATGACGTCCCTTAGGATAAAATCTCAATCTTTAATAATGTGGTTGTAGAAGGAGCGGTTGAAAACATTTTAAACTTTTGTAATTTTTGACATTTCAGAAATTTTAATGAAAATCATTCACAAACCATTTTTTTAAGTGTACTTGGCCCTATTCAAACAAACAATTTAAAGAAAAAACTTGGAGCATTTTTGAGAAACATTTTGATAATGTTGTGGGTCTTTGTGTAAAGAATCTCCAAAGTTAGATCTGTTTTAAATTTTAGGGGCTGAAACATCGATCAGGAAATATCAATTTTGGTGAAAATTTGGTATATGGTTTAGGTGTAAGTATTGATCATAGACAAGTTTAGGAAAGAAGATGAAGAGAGGAGGCGGAACAACTGGTGGTGGTTTGTTTGTTTGTTTTCTTTTTTTCTTTCCCTTCAATATCAGAGGCATCCAAAAAGGGTATTTCCATTAAAATCCCCACATCAATCTTTTACAGTTTTACTTCACTTTCTCAAACCACATATATGAGGAAGGTGAAGATTAATAACATTTTGATTCATTTTTTTATCTCTAAAGAAATATTTTATTCAATTCAGGAATCTGAATAAATTAAAACAAAAACAGAATTCAACTTTTTTTGTGCATTGATTTAGGCCACTAAATCCCAAGTGTTATGAAATAAAAGAGATGGAATTAAAATTTAATATCAAACAATTTTCAATTATTGTAGTTTTTGAGTTTATCCAGATATATCTGTTTATTTACTTGAAAAGAAAAACAAGAAAAGAAATGTGTAGACATGAAAGGAGGATTGAAATTATGTTAATAGATGTCACTTAGTCAATGGAATATTTGAATGACTTATTATTAAGCATAGATGAGCATCTAGAGACTGCAAAGTTGCAATTCAGAAAGCATCCTTAAGTACAAATCTCAAAATGGATTTTACCACACTCCTTTTGAAGAGAATGTATAGTATTAGTGTGAATCAGCATGGCTTCCTTAAGCTCTTGAATCTCTTTTTCATGACCTTTAATTTGAGCTTCAAGCTCTAATGTTTTTGATTCAGATTCAATCATCTGATGCTTGTGCTTTGCTGCTGCTTCTTCTATTCGATGCAACATATTGCAGTTATCATGCTCCAAACACTGATTTATATTTTTCAGATTTTTTAATTCCCATCTCATTTCTAAATTTTCTTTGGTAATTTTTGTATATTCACTTTCCAAACTCTGTAAATGCTTATTGTGTGTAGTTTTTGAATCAGAAAATTCAGCCAATTGTCCTTTCAGGGTACCAAATTGTTGACTTAAAAAATCTTTCTCTGCTACTTCTTTGAAGTAATTTTTTTCTAATTGCTGATATTGTTGGGGTAAGTTTTGTAAATTCACAAATGATTTTTGTAAATTTTCCAATTGTTTTTCAAGTTCTAGATTGGCTTTTGTTAATTCCTTATTTTTAGTTTGATACATTTGCAAATGAGAAGTCATCTTCATCAAGTCGACTTCCATAGCTCTACCTTTTTTTTCATCAGAAATGAGCTTTTGTATCAAGTTTTCTTTTTCTTCTTTAAGTTCTTCAATGCTCTTCTCTATATGTGTTTTCAAATCTTCTTGCTCTTTGACAGCTTTCTTTACTTCTTGTAGGTTTACAAGTTCAATTTCAAGAACAGTTATGTCATTTGAACACTTTAATAACTTCTCCTGGAAGTAAATTATATTCAACTTTATTTTAGGCATTCAATAAATACCTTACCTTAATAATAATATAATTATGTTTATATTCAGACTAATGGATCAGTAACTTACAAATTACCTTCAAGTCACAGTTGTCTTGAGTAATTTTAATGAGCTGCTTGTCAGTATTAATTTTTTCATTGATTATTTGATCAGATTGTTTCCTTAGAATATCATATTCAGTGTCTAATTCACTCAAAACATTTTCCAATTGTTTATTGTTGTTCTTCACTGAGAATCTACAAGGAAACAAACAATATTGAATTATGTCATTTCCATAAAGGTGTCAAACACATTTCAGTTTTATCCGCTTAACACAAAAGTACAAGTATTGTAAAATCATTTCATTTACTTAAAAACCAACTATACTCATTACCAAACCTAAAAATTAGTCCACTTAAAAGCATGCAATTAGTATATAATTTTTATAAATATTGAACATGCAAAGAAATCGTGAGGGTGGAGCCAGGAGAAAGAGGGGAGAGGGAGGGAGAGAGAGAGAGAGGGAGAGAGAGAGAGGAAAAAGAAAGAAAACAAAAAAAGAGAGGTGTTCAGATGAAGAAGATACCTCAAATCAAACTGCCTACTGACTTCTTTCAGTCACCATGATAGGATTCCAAAGGTATGAACTTTACATAGTTATTATGAATTGTTCATAAAAAATAGATGAATTGAAAATGAAATTTAACCTCAAAAGTTTAAAATTAAACTTCTAACATTTTGTGTCCTCCAGAAATTTTCTCATGCAGAGACACATTTTAAAATGTTTTTGATGTTAAAATGAGTTTGCCTATAAATGAGATTACTGGGTCTTCAAATTTCTTTTGTACATACTGTAATATCCATATTGAGTACTTTTCACCTTTATTGCGATCCATGAGGAGAAAGAAATACTTACAGTTCTTTTTCTTTTGTGGTGTAGTCTTCAGAGAGACAGAGGAGTTCTGTACCGAGGTCATGAATCAGAGTGCAAATCATCATCATCACTTTCATGAGAGGAGCCCCAGGTTCCATCTAATTTAATGATACATTAAGTTTATTTATTGTCACATTATGCATTACAATGAGTAACTTATAAATCAACCTTGCTAAGTCAGTATATCTTGATTGTTAATAAAATATGCAGGAAAATATTTTCTCAAACAAGCGCTGCAAACAAGTTCTGCAGAAGATTCAAATGTAAACTGAGGCAATTTTGATTTAAAAATGTTTGAAATATATTTATAATTTTGCCATTTTTTCCTGTGTTTATTTTCGTGTCATGTATTTAATGTATTTAAGAGAAAGAAAGAGTAGACCAAATATCTTGGATGGCTGAGGTGGTTGAGTGAGCAGGCTTAGCACCTCATGGGTTGTAGATTTGAATTCGGTCATGAGCATAGATTTTTGGCTCTTTTATTTAGTGGATGTGGTGTTATGGAGAATTGCATTCTGCTAATAGGAGATCCAAGGAGTCTGAATATGTGTTAGCATCTAGTATAAGGTTTGAAATGCATTTCAGTGAAACAAAACACACACACACCTAAGAAGAAAATATTCCTTATATCAGAGATCTCCAATTTGGTGGCAAATCCAACAAGTTATATCTCTTTTCTCCCAAAAGGAGTCCTACATAAGTCCTCGTTTCTAGATGTGAGTGTAACTATTACTGATGCAATTGTCTGAGGCCTTCAAGTCCAAATTATTTATTGTTTTGTAACACTAAAAGGCCCAAAAGGTTATTTTTATTTTTTAAGTATTATGTACAAAAAAATATGATTTAGGAAATTGAACTACCAAGTTTTATTTTTCTGAATGCAGGATGTCTTTTCACATAATCTTAAAATTGAGGGTAATGAATGTTCCAATAAATCTTTATATTTACCTACCCCATCATATTCGTGAAAGGAATGCCTTATTCAGGAAACAATATTCTCAAAAAATGTTTTAATTTAACATTTTACACGAGTCCCAAATTATTGAAATATCTTTCATTCATTTGTTAAAGGTGAGTTTTATTCTAATCTTTTCTTGCAACATTTTGAGCAAGGTCCCCCCACATGTATATGATCTGGGAGGAATAGATCCACCACTGGTCTGAGGTCCATTGGCTGAGGCCTGAGAGCAGTTACTGTGAGAGGTTCAAGGGCGAATCTCTACTGTCTTAAACTGGAAACAAAGGAAGGCTCTTAAAGAGAAAGTTTTCTTTGAAACTTACCTCTATTTTTTCCCAGTTAACTGAAATCTTTCTTCCAGTTTCATCAAGGCTAGTTTTAAGACTTTTAATATCATCAATTATAATACTTGCTATGTCTGTTACTTCTTGGAGAGATTTTTTGGCTTCTTCTAATTCTCTCCACAAATACGCCTTCTCAACATTCATGTCATTTTGATCCCTGTTTTGTTTCACTGCCAGTGAGTAATTACAAAGAAATCCTCTTTGAGTCTCAAATAGTGTCCAGTTCTATTTTATTGGAATGAAATCGTACAAACACTTACTCTTTTGTGCCTGTATTATCAGTTTTTGTTTGTTTATTTCATCAGCACACAGTTCCAAGGAACTCAACATTTCCTGATTCACAGTCTGCAGCTGAGAAACTGTGTGATGAGCCATTGTGAGTTTGTTTCTCAATTTTTCATTATTTTGAAGTAATGCGACATTTCCATCTGAATGAGGTCCTGACACATCTACATAATCTTTTATTTTCAAATAAAGCTTGTCAAGTTTCTTCAAAAGCATGATATTTTCTTGTTCTACTGCATTTTTCTAATATTAACAACAATCTTTCTATAATTAAACACACTGAACTACAAAATTTTGACTTCATGTTTGTGAATGTAATAAAAAAGTAATGTACACTACTTAGAAATACCTGATTGAGTAGCATTGCAATATGTGCTTGAGAACTCTCTTTGAAGCTTTTAATTATTTGTATCTGCTCTTCTATGAGATGTTGTGCAATGCTATGGAGCCTTTGTTCAACTTCCATTCGATTTTGCGAATAAATTTTGACAATTTCCACTGCAAAGCATTTAAATTATGTATACTTACACCTACAAATTTCAATGTGCTACAAATATTGTAAGTAATAGTATGGTTGTGTTGGAATAATACCTAAGAAAAGCTTATTACCAAAAATATTGCTAAATTTTCTGTTTGGATTTCTGATGGAAATCTAAGTAAATGAGTTTATCAACCTTTAGTGGCTTCCCTTTATTGGAAATATTTCAATAAATGTGCTCATCCAAACAAAAGTTATGAAATATATTACAGCATTAAAATGCATTTATGTAAGATCATTAAAAATTATGCTATATTTCCAATCTTTGAGTTTATGTATTTAGAATTGAAAACAAACAAAAAAACTGCAGCTGTTCTTTCATTTAATTTTATAGTATAAGAATACCCTGTGCTGTGTTACCGAAGTATACGTCTTAAAATTGTGGGTGGTGAATATTGATGTGTTATACTCACATAGTTGAGTTTCTAAATTTTTATTATCTACATATTTAATGACACTATCTTTCACATTTGTTTCACTTCCTATTACAGTCTTTTGTAGGTCTAAAATGTTTGCATGGATATCTTTTAAAATTTGAGTTGAATATTGTATTGAATTGTGAGGGAATATTCTGAAACAATATTTCAGAGTAGTTTTTTGTGAGCCACATTATTTGTTAATACATGTTCTTAAAATATCTTACTCAACTTTTCCAAGAGCATTGATGTTTGGAATTCTTTCCTTAGAGATTTCTGATCTGAAGATGATGGAATCTTCATGTTTGTATTAGATGATTAAAAATGAGATTTGGGAAGTAGGAAATGAGATTTGATAAAAGTGATCTCTAAGTCAAACGTCAATAATAGCATAAATTATAAGAACATACCTCATTTTTTATGCACCCATCTTCAAATCTTGTTTTATCTGAGATGAATCTAAATAAGTAAATTAATAAATAAATAAGATGCTAAATAAGAAACAAAAACAATATATAAGAAAGAATAGAGACAGGTCTGCCAAAGAATAGAGACAGGTCTTGTTCTCTTACTGAGAATTATGTAACAGGAGGTGTCTGTTAATTTCAGTATTCATTCATGGATAAGGAGCAAGTAGATGTAACAATCAAGTAGAACCAACTCTAATAAAATTTTAGAACATAAAAGATTTTATGGTTAGTATTCCATGTGCAATAGCATTCAACATTATGAGATATGAGCTAAGGATATATTTTATTAATTGGGTAGAGACAGAAGTGTGATCTTAGAGAAACAAAACATTATTTGTTACCAATTGCCTTACAAGGCTTGCTTGTTTCATATTTCAAACTGTATATTACATCGTTATTAATTAAATAACATTTCTTGTAACAGAATGTTACATATATGTATTAATTTTCATTTACCCTTCTTTTTGTGTTCTCCTGATAGCTCTATTGTTGAAACAAATTCAATAAAACAATAAGAGAATATGGACATAATAAATTAATATTGCTTGATTTAGATTGTCATGCATTATTTGTTTCCTGAATTGGTTCTTTCCTGAATTTACTATTGATGAACATAAAATAATTAAGAATCACTGTTCTATTAGGCCTCTTTTCATCATACAAGGCCTGCTATTGAAAATCAGAATAATACTTGAAATTACAAGATTGTAGGTGTTCAGAATTCTTATGTGTAACATATACCTATTACACTGACTTTTCAAAATTCTGTTGTCTTATATTATAGGTAAAGTTCTTCTCTCTTTTGAACTCCAAGTGCCCTGAAAGTTCCTGTACACAGTTTCTGAAATATTAGGCTTGCAAATAAGACCACCATTCATAGACGAATTGCTTAACCACCCTCTGTGCCTCTGTGAAGACAAGAAGGTTAAACAACTCTAGACACCAGAGGTTCCTGGATGGGTGACTGACTGAGAGCTCTTAGGATCTAACAGCACTACGCCTTTGGCTGAAGGGATAAAAGGCTGGCTGTCTTAACAGAGGATTACTCCATGTTTAATGCTAATATGGTTAGAGAATGCTGTTATGAAAAACGAAATAAGAAGATGAACCTAGCATTTCTTTTGTACAATATTAACACCTAGAAGGTTTTGGTACTCATTAATAGCAGTAAAGTTTTCCAGATTCATTGTACAAAACTTACTACATTAGCTATTGTATAATTTACCGACATTCTTAACTCAATTGTTTTATATGTTTAAATAAAAAATAATAAAATGTGTGATTAGAAAGATGAGTTCAAAAATCATAATTCTGTTTGTGCATTAGTACATACTCCATAGATTCTTGTTTAATCTTCTTCGGTAAGTGTTTTTCTTTCATTTTTTGTTGAGCAATTGTACTGAGCTTTTGACTGCTATTCAAATGAGAAGAAATTGTTTTTAAATTAGCAGGAAAAGCTTCTTCAGAATCTTGATATTGTACCTGGCAATATACAGATGTTAGTTTATTTTCACAACAAAAGTTATGCCTAATAAATTTAAAAAGAAAACATCTTGGAGTAGTATTACACTTCTATTGGTTTGATATGTTGCTTTCTTCGACCTGATTTGATGAGAATTAAAAAAGTAAAATATGGTTACACTCGACCATAATAGATTATGCCTTAAAATACACACTTCAAATATAGAAAAAACAGGATATCTTGCTGTAGACATTTAGAAGTGTATGGAAGCAAGAATGAAAGGCAAATAAATAGAGTCTTTTTACAACCAAACTTACAAAGTTGGTTGACCATTTACTAGAACCCAGCACATTACAAATACTTTCAAAGGAAAAATACCAAGAAATACAAGTCAAGGAAATCACAAAAAGAATAGTAACTCTAAGTGGCTACTTTAAATGCACCAGCTACTGAGAAATAAAGAGGGATGCAAGAATAGAAATGTATGGTTGTGACAACAATGCTTGGTCTTCAGTTCGTTATTATGTATGATGATGGATGCAAGAAAATCTACCCACAGTCCAGAAGGATACAAAAATAGTTAACATTCTTAAAAACAGAAAAGACAATCTGTTGAAATTAACGCATTATCTATATCTCATTAATGACTACGGTAAACAATGAAGTCATGAAAAATCTTCAATAGAATTGAAAGGGTTTCAATAACAAGTCTTGACATCTTGAATATTAAGTGACTTAAATTAAAAATATGTTCCAGAACTACCAATCTAAAGAGCAGATTTGGAAGCACAAGGGTGGATTGGTCATCATCTCCAGATACCAGTTGAAGTTAGCATCGAAAGCATCAAGTTAGCATCAACAAATACATAATTTGATTGGAAATCCCAAGAACAAAGGTAACCAGATTGTCCTAAGGGATTGTGGTATAATAAAACCATTAGTAAAGAGGAGCTGTGAATTATATCAGACAGAAGTTCATTGAAAACATGTTCTGCAAAAGCAGGGGTTCTCAAGTTGTGATATGCATATCTTCAGGGGTATGCAATACTGTGAATGTAGAGAGTAACATGGGGTACATGAAAAAGTTTTCTCAAAAGATATGATAACGAAGAAAGTAAACAACTAATCTGAAAAGTGAAATATACTTGGAATGTTGTTATACATAATCACTGTACAAGACAAACACTTTCTTTACTTTATTATGATACTGGTTCACTATAATGTTTAGTATCTTGTTGTAATTATTTACCTGTGTAAATTGAGAATAAAATTTTAAGAGAAATTTAAATGAAAAAAATGCCTCAATAAGCTAGATAGAAAATAATATTTAACTCTCATTTAGAGAACATTTATTGCTGAGATACATTAAACTTTCAGGTGTATGTGAAGTTACAATCTTTATAAGATTAGAAAACCTCTGTACTAAAGAACAAAAGATTTAAAAAGAGAAAGAAAAGATTTAAACATTTTAAAGCCTTTTGAAGGGAAAGTAACAAGGAAAAATATTATCTGAGGTAATATACAACTGTGTGCTTGAAATGTTTTCTTTGTTAGCCCTCAGATGAAATTTGTCGCTTGGATTTGAAAACACAGAAATGCAAAGGAACTTCAACTTCTTTTTAAAACAAAATATTTGTTTTAATTTACTTGTACAAACCTCTTTGATATCAAAAGATTTTCCTATGCAATCACTTTTGAAATTTATCTCTTCCTGCAGATTTGATATTTCATAATTTTTGCTGGAAAAAAATTGTTCATTAATTTATTTAGAAAATGTAGGTAAGAAAACGTCTGCGAATACTAATAGAGAGAGAAATCATTTGAATCAAGTGACTGCTTTCAAAACAAGAGTTAAAGAGTCATTCCTTGAATAGAAAATACAAAGAGTTAAAACAGTATTTCTAATAAATGATGTGGTACCAATGAATATAACAACACTAATAACACATTGTGACACAGTAAACTAAGGTTACCAGCAAGGCCAGATTTAGCTTGATGTTCCCCCAAGGCACAATTTTTCATAGGCCTCAGAAAAAATTATAGGACTAGGTATTTAACTCTAAATATTAGACTTTTTTGTAATAAAAAAAAAACAATGGTAATTTAGAGGAATACAAATATTGATTCAAAATTAAGTTATCTTATGTAACTAAAAGATTTCTTCTTTATTGTTTTTGAATTTTTTCATACTCTTTTACAAACCTATGTTAGTAATGAAATGGTGTGTGTATTGTAATGTATTAATTATTGAAGTTACATTTTAAAATGAAAAAATCTATCATTTTGTATACATGTAATTTATTTGTTTTAGGTCCTGAAAAAATTTATCAGGAGGCCCTATTGTAAGCCTCCAATGTTCATAGGCCCTAGGCACTGTGCCTAACATGCCTACTTGTTAATTCAGCCCTGGTTACCAGGCATCCCCATGAAGACTGTCCCCTTGTTTACAAATCCTGGATATAAATCATCCCTAAACATATATCTTTAATATCAAATTAGACAACTCTTAATTTATTACTTCTATGTCTACTTCTACTACCGGATCCTTTTCACTAAATCTGGATATGCTATTTAAGTTAGAATGATAGTTATCTAACTTTATTTCCAAGATAATACTCAAAAAACAACTACATAAATGTAGTGACTCAGAAGACTTAATGAAGTCTTCACAAATTAAATTGCATCCCTGCATTCACGAAAAAAAAATCTGGGAACAAATTTTCTTCAGTTTGCATCAGTGTTGCAACAAAACTTCAGTTTATATCAGCATACATTTAAGGACCATTAGATCAGGATTTAACCCAACATCTAGTGATCAGTTAATTTCTACAAGAATGCACCACAAGTTAGGTTGCTCTTAGGCCTAAAAGTACACTCACAATATTTTTAATAGACAACTACGCAGCTACATTCCCTTGATTTTATATTTAATTTAATTATATATATGGTTATATAATTTAACTATAATTTTAATTTATACAGACTTTCAGTGCTTTAAAATTATAGTTCTCAATAATTTATTTTTAATACAAAAAGTTTTTTTAAAACCTTTTTTTTAATATTTTATTGGGTTTGTGAAGTAACAAGTAGTGAAGAATGCAATATTGTCATTATCCTGAAAACACTTTGAAGAATTACTTTGTTGTAAATTACAGAAAGTTTAAGTATTTTCAATTGGAGGGTATGGAAGAAACTGTTACTATGCTTCTTACATTATTTTGGCAAACATTTCCAGTTGAAGATCTCTATACAAAGGATATGTGACCATATTATCACATACAGATTTTTTGTGTTTGTTTGTAATTTTGCTCCTGTATTCAACTATACTGTCAGTTCTGTCTCCATTATTGTTTTGATCCAGCTCTGTAGAAAACTAGTTAAGAGCATGTGAGGAAAATAAGAGGTAATCTTTTAGTAGGATTCTTCAGTGTATTATGTTGAGCCATTTGATTTATAATCTATGAGATCTATTCGAGTTATGTTTTGGTGTTGAATAATACAACTTCTATTGTTTTCATACTTCAATTATTGAATTATCTCTATGAATTGTAACACGACTTTTGTTAGTTTTGGAAAAGCACAATGAATTCTTCGTAAAAACTGAATACAGAACAATTTTTTTCCCTGAGCTGATTGTTCTCGATGTTTGCTGGACTATTTCACCATTTTGTGTGTCTCAACAATTGTAACAATTTTATGAGCAAAATACCTTATTGTTGATTCTTTAATAAACATTCATATGATATTTTTACCCTTATATACGTTAAAAAATGTTTAGCTAGGCCTAACAGACCCATGTGGTGCAGAAGTGTGGTACCTTCAAAAACATTAAAATTACTGAGAACTTAGCTTTTAATGGCAAGTCTATTATTAAAAGCTCATAGCTTATATTTGTAGAAATTTATCATGTACAGAAATATTTGAAAAATGTATACAAAATTATTGGTTTAAAAGTGTCTTCTTGAACTCGTGTAGTTCTTCTAAGAGTCGATAAGAGATGGACAATACTAATATCAGAGCTAATTTATGGACTCATTCTTTTCTCACTTAATTTTAAATGTTATACATATACTAATATATTGCTTTCTGCAAAGAACATTCTTAATATACATTGTTATGTTAGTAATTACCTTTCAGAGACCTTTATATTTCCATCAAATGGTAGTATGTCATCATCTTCACTCTGAGTAAGCAGAAATGTATTACTATTAATTTGTAATGGACTGCCTTCTTGCCCTAAAGTATCTTCCATTTGTACGTCTTTTTCTGTCTCAGTCTGATATACAAAGAAGATAGATTCTTTGTTTGCAGATTGTTGAGGACCACCAGAAAAACGCAATGCAGGCTGAATGCCTTGGAGACGAGTAAGGTATGTTGGGTTTGATACTGTGTCAAGTTCAGAATTAAACTGGTCCATAAAAACCCACACATTCTCTTGAATTACCTAAGTTAATCAATGATTTATTGTTAACTACAGCACAATGAAATAATCCAGAATAGCATTGATTATGTACCTACTGCATGAATATTGAGTATTGGACAGACTGAAGATTAATATAGAAAAATATAAATCTAAAGAAAAAGGTAACACTGATTGCTTTTCTTACTCGTACAAACAGTTTATGGCTGATTTAGATATTTTCAACAGGAGGAGACACAATTACAAATGGCATTATATAACTTCACAAATTTATTTTGTAGTAACAGATAATTCTGATCTTTGAAAGGGAATTGACAATTCACTTTTAATCTATTTACTTTTTATTTAATTTTTATCCCAACAACATCAGCTTTCTGAAGGGGAATGTTTACCTGAATACATGCTATGATAGAAATGCAAACATTAATTTGAAAATAATGGCGAATCTTATCTTCTAAGAAGAAATATCACAGCAACAAAGGGCCTGGAGGTGAAACTCTTTAGCATGACACAGCAGTATATGTGCAGGAGTTACCAATGGGGTCAGTATCGACCCTTGGCTGTCAATGAAATTTTGAGG